TCCATACCGACAATTGATATTAATTAATGATGCATATTCCAGATGGTCGACTGGTAATCGTGGGCGCGCAACGAGTGCAAGTGAGGTCATCGAGGTCGCGGGTTCGAATCACGCTATAGGAGTTATTCTTAATCTGGCTTGGGGGCCGAATAACTTCTCCCCGAGTATGATTTGGAGCTGGCGGACAAGGAGTAACTCTCAAACTGGCTTGGGGGCCGAGTAACTCCTCCCCGTTGAATTTGCTTTTTGATTTTGATGTCTTTTCAGTTTTTCCCCTTATTATCATCATCATTTTTATTCTTTTTTCACCTCTGTCTCTCATTGTTTTCTGAGCAGTTATCTTTTAGGGCCACTAAGTATTCTTCAGTGATATGGTTTTGGTACGTCTTTATTTCTTTTTCCCCTTTCTTTTTCCTTTCTTTTTCTCGAAATTAGATGTAATATATATTAGCATATCTCGGTCAGTAATAGGTTAAAATAAGAATAACAATAATACTTATATACATATTTTATATGTATATGTTAATGTTATTATTATTGTAATTATTTTTTTAACTCTTACCGACTGAGTGCGATTTCGGTGTTTAGGAATATTGGCCCAAGGCCATAGCACTTCGACCCGAGAGCAGCAAGGTCTGCACAAAATCGACAGTACGGTTCGAGTAAGCGAGTTTAGTTAGTAGTTTATTAAAATTTTTTATGGCATTGGCTGTTTTTTTTAAATTTGCCAAAGAGTTTTGTCGATCCTGGAAAAACATGTTGTTCCTCGCATCAGAAATTATGGAGCAAGAAAATGGTGCTGAGGAAATTAATTCAAACTTAAAGAAGCAGCTGTAAAGTCAATCCGCTCATCACTTTCGATAGCAAATGGCCAGTTATTCATTGTTTTTAAAGTTTTACATGTGATTTAAGCATGTTGAGAGACAGTTGCATGGTATATTATTCTGTGGTATTTTCAAATTGTCGCCCAAAAGAAATTGACTCTGCACCTTTCACAATTTGCCATCCATACTGTCCCGTCTACTTGGGAAAAAAATCCCACCAAGCTCTCCAATTGATATAGGCACCAGTCTCTTGTTGTCAAGGAGCAAACAGACCATGGACTAAATTGATGTCTTTTGCATTTAGGTGCAATACTTAAAAGAGAAAATTCCTAATACTCGCCGTGAAATTCGAGTTCAGAAAACGTCTTCATGGTAGTCACATCGCGCAAAGGAGACGACCTGTTTTTGTAATGACTACCAAGCGCTATCAAGAATTTTCGACTAGTTTTTCCGTTGAAGACTCCAGAATTATTTCTGAAAAAAGACACAGTATTACAGCCTTTTATTTGCTAAAGTTTTTTATACTAGTTGAGACCAAAGTAACTTGGCATTGTGGTAAGGTATATTTGTTTTTCTTTTTCCTTTTCAATACATCTACGTGAGATTATAATTATTCAATCATTAAATGGAATAAAATAAAAAGGGTGTTAAACGAATGGGGAAATGAAGAAAGAAATGCTAAGTAGCTAAATAATACTTATGATTTCCTTTTAAAAACAAGCAAAGGTAGGGTGAGAAAAAAATTATAGATAACGTGTAAAATTTAAAGATAAGTCTTGTGTACACCGGCAACTATGGCTTATAGGAATGGTACGTGAAATCCAGAGTTAAAAAGTTTTCGAACTTTTCTTTGGAGGCGTTCTTCCTAATCCGTAGAATGTATTTTTCGTGACTCGCAGAGCGTTTGTCGGCTTGAAGCTTGCATTTATGACACCAGTTTCCAACGTGGTCAAACATCGTTCAGGCATACGGTACTTTTGCTAATTCAAAGCTGTGTCCCCAAGACGAAAGACAGGTGTAATATCCTGTTGTCGAGGACCAAACAGACTGTGGACTAAATTGATATCTTCTACATTTAGCTGCAATGCTAAAAGAGAAAATTCCCAATACTCGCCGTGAAATTCGAGAAAGACCCTCGCTATGACAATCTTAAGTCTTCTCTTAGCATTAATTTTAAAACAGCATCAAACAATCCGAGTGCATGGAGCTCACAAAACCTCTTCATCAGTAGTCGCATCGCACAAGGGAGACCACCTGTTTTTGTAAGGACTGCCAAGCGCCATCAAGAGTTTTCGACCAATTTTTCCACTGAAGACTCTAGAATTATTTCTGAAAATATTCATTTATTTGTTGAAGGATTTTATAATAATCGAATTTGATTTCTTTTTTCCTTTTTAAATGCCTTGATGTGAGATTATAATTATTCAATCATTAAATGATATCGAAAAAATTGAATTGACAGGGAAAATGTAGAAAATGATGTTAAGTAAATAAATTATACTTATGATTTACTTTTAGTAACACAACAAAACGTAGGGTGAGCAAAAATAGTGGACAATAAATCTTAAATAAATCTTGTGTACACAACTGTTCCAGTTCTTAAACTTGCCTATTTGTTGATCAGTATTTTGGTGACACTTTACACCTTCTTGTGGTGCATGGGCATTCGGCCTTCTACAAGTGATATTTCCATGTTATTTATTTATTTTTTTTATTTTGATGTTTACAACTATGGCTTACAGCAAAAGTACGTGAAATTCTAGAGTTAAAAAAGTTTTCTACCTTTTCTTTGTTAGTGTTCTTTCTATTCCGCGGAATGCATTTTTCGTGCCTCGTGAAGCTTTTGTCGTCCTGGAGTTTGTATTTGCCACACCAGTTTGTTACGTTTCGAATTTTCTTCTTTCACCATTAGACACAAATCGGACGAGAGCCAATGGACACAATTGATAACTTGTTTGAGAAGTGTCTGAAGCGTCGTGTTTAACGAGCCCCAGCGAACGAGGCCGTCCGCCATTACGACATATGCTAATATTCCTCGTTGATATCGCTTCTTTCGGTTCTTTGTATGATTCATTTCCTTTATTCTTGACCGGAAACGCTCGATGCACTCTCATTTGGACAAACTTCCTCACCCTACCCCCCAGCCTGGTATTTGAAAACTCTCCATACCGACAATTGATATTAATTAATGATGCATATTCCAGATGGTCGACTGGTAATCGTGGGCGCGCAACGAGTGCAAGTGAGGTCATCGAGGTCGCGGGTTCGAATCACGCTGTAGGAGTTATTCTTAATCTGGCTTGGGGGCCGAATAACTTCTCCCCGAGTATGATTTGGAGCTGGCGGACAAGGAGTAACTCTCAAACTGGCTTGGGGGCCGAGTAACTCCTCCCCGTGGAATTTGCATTTTGTTTTTGCTGTTTTTTCTACTTTTTTCCATTATTATCGCTAATTTTATCATCTTTCTTCCTTTTTTTTCTGAGCAATTATCTTTTTAGGTCAGTGTGATATTTTTTCTAAAATGGGACTGTAGGTGTCGGTTACTTTTTCCTTTTTTTTTTATATCAGATGTAACATTTCCATTTCATTTTATGCTATCATATCGTTTATTTATTTTCAACGACCCTTTTTACAATTTTTCTTATCTGGCTTATGCATGTTGAGTGACAGTGACCGTTCAAATTATTCCAAGGTAGTGACAAATCGTCGCTCATAAGTAACGAAACGGAGTTGATAAACCTCAAGTCGTTATGAGATCAAATATCTCACATGAACAGAAACTCGGTGGAATATTTACTGTAAATAAAAAAAAACACTTTACGGAACTTGGTCGTTCTCTCATGTCTACTGCCATGAGGTCCCAAAAGAACGTTTTTTTATTAGCATAAATTGTTGGTGTAAAGAGTTTTTAAATTCCAGGTTGGGGGGGAAGGGTGAAGAAGATTGTCTGACTGTGGGTGTAATTAGGCATTTCCGGTCAAGAGTAAAGGAAATAAATAAAAAACAAAACTGATAGAGGTGATATAAACGAGGAACGTGAGCATATGTCGTAACGGGCCGGACGAATTCGTTTGCTGGGGCTCGTTAGACACAAAGATTCGGACACTTCGAATTCAATCGAATTCTCAAACTGGGGAAGCCGTCAAGTGTGTGCATGGGTAAAATGTCACACACAAAGTGTCGCGCATTTTTACCTCTGTAGACGCATTTATTACACATAAATTTCTTTTACTTTATGTTCACTTTTTACCAGACGCGACATTCATTTGTCGGATTAACCACTAAAGACTTGTAGTAACGGCTGTGAATATATGAAAGTCGTATATTTGAACTGCGGATAAAGACGTGAAGAAGGTGATCTTCGCAGTAGAACACTACTTGAGTAGTGATAAAAATAAGGCCTGAAAAAAATTCAGGCCTGTACGCGCTGCACCGGTATCGCAGAGGTCATGGGTTCAAATCCCGTACAGGCCTGAATTTTTTTCAGGCCTTATTTTCACTACTGCTCAAGTAATGTTCTACTGCGAAGATCACCTTCTTTAAAGGCTTGTAGTGTTGGCAGCTATGCTGATACACGAAAAGAACATATCTCATTTCGTTGTCGTCTGCGAAACATACCATCCAAAGTACATTCATTTTGGTACAAAAATTAGATCCCTTACGCAGAGGCGTAAACATTATAACACGTTGAAGCTAGAGGTTTTACCGAGATTGCAAAAAAGGAAACTATGTTTTACTTTGCCTGTAATTTTCTGTGATACTTACACAGCATATTTAGCCGCAGATGCATGTCCGCTGAACACCTTCATACTCAGCCCGGGCGCCCGGGCGTTGATTATCCCGTAAATTTTTCCGCCGGATGCGAGGGAGTCGATATATTTTTGAGTAAAATTTCGGGTAAATGCTCTATGAGAGGAAACCAAACTGCTTTCTAAAAAAATTTGGTCATCTGGGAAAACGCCAGTACGCATCTTATGTCGTTGGCGTTCTCACGATGGTGACGTTACTCAAAGAAAAGGCGGGAAAAGTAACGCGTTTGGGACCTGCTGCCAAATGCCAGTTATGCTACAGCTGTAATTTGTAAACAAAGGTTGTGCCAAGGATGTTGCATCAAACATTTTGAAATTTGTTTTGTTTCCTCCCGACATCAAAGGCTTGTTATCGTAGGAAAGAGGTATGGAGGTAAAGAGTACTTTGGAAGTCGCTTTTGAATGGTTCTGTGAGTGTGGGGCCTTTGAACAGCTCAGAAAACAAAGTAAATGTTACTCTGCAGATTCCACGGTAAGTCATGGGGTTGTAAAAACTGTGACGACAATTATGCAGTCGTGAATAAGCTGAAATTGCAGCAAACAAAAACAAGTTCAATTTCTTTGAGAAGGAAATGCATAAATACATGCTATTACTTTTGGATTAATTCATGTCACGGTTAGGCCTTTTTAATTTAATTGAGAAAAGGGCGTCATGGTATTTATATTAATTGACTTTATTCCTTATAAACGAAAGTAAATAGCCCCCAGCCTTTATTATTTTGAGATCAAAACCCATCTCAAAGTGGAATTTTATATGTGATTTTATCAATGATTATTTGATGTATATTAATATCACAAGGGATGTTTTTTTCTATCACTAATCAATTAAATAATTGATTATTATCAAGGTTAGTTTGTAGACCCAACTGTTTGACTTTGATATGCTAAGAAGACATCCACAGAGATAAGATGACACTTGGCTCTGAAGATGAAATAATCCTATAGGAGTTTTTTTATTGTTACCACAATAAGTATAGTACCTAGAAAGGTCACTCTTATGAGAATTTTCAGATGAGACATTTTTACAACAAGTGTTTTTCATATCCTTCATAGGAAAAGACTGTTTACAGATTTGTGTTTAAAATGGATCTTATGGATTTGCTTGACTTCAATGGTATGGTTTGTGTGATTTCAAACAACATCTTTTCAATATTACTACTTCTTATGATATTGTTGTAAGAAACAAAAATGTTGTCATGCCCCTATTAGAGGTTTCCAGTAACCATTGTTACCAATTTTTGTCTCCTAGCTACACTAGGAAATTTGGCTATAGTGGAGCCTTTGAACGCCATAAATGTTTTTCAAGAGGTAAGAGCTAGGTCATGGTTGGTGGTTTTTAGGGGGCTCAGGCACACTCCACATGTGTCCTGTGATAGCTAGTTAACAAGAATATTTCTCCCAAAGGCCAGCAGTATTCTAATTTCTTGTGTAACATAGATGTCATAAATCCACTTAATATATGCTTCTCCACAATTCTAAGGTTAGGTGTTCAGGAGGCTCTACAGGGTTTTTTGGATTGTGCAAGATCTGGATGTTAACATAGCGCAAGCTTCAAAAATGTCAACATGCAAAATGTACATGGTGGCTCAATGTGACTGCACAATCATTATCATTAAAAGTGTATTAAACAGTACAAAACAATGCAGTTGTTATGAAATTAACTCTACAGTTTCCAGCAACTATACCCCTAATATTTAGTTAATATCCATTAGCCTTCTAAGCCTGAAAAAGAGGTCGACTGAAAAGCAAACAAAGGTGGAAGGTTGCAAAATGACAACACATTCAAAAGTTTATGCATGCACATAAACATATCAATCTTGACAAAGTGCTAGTTTATTATGGAATGTTTTAGGAGTAAGAAAAAGGGATCTTCTAAGTGAGATTTATTGGACTTCCCTCAGTAGATATTTTTGAATTTTTAAATAATGGTTATAACAATAGTCCATTTTACAGTTGCATGCTTGGTTGCCAAGTCTTTGAACAGGAGTGAGGCTAAGGGTGACCTTGTTATGATACAAACCTTGCTACCTTTCAAATACAAATTACTTTGTTATCATGCTAAGTAGATACTGGTTTCTATCACAACAGGGTCACCCTCAGCCTCACTCCAAATCAAAGGCTTGGCAAGTAGGTTCACAACTGTGAAATGGCCCATCGAATCATGAAGAAATTGACAATGACAAATTTTTATGTTTATTTTATAACAGACTACTGATAATCAAAATTATGCCAGTTAGAAAAAAAAAATATTGCCACCAATAATGTTTTAAGATTATGATCAAACAATAAACCTTTTCTCTGATATGCTCTGCACAGGTCTCTTATATTGTTATTCACACTCTGTCATGGATACCAGATTTGTTGCTCCCATCACAAGTTCTTGTTGTAGTCAGGTTTTCATCAGTGCCACCATATCAAGAGTAGGTTCATTCTTCCTAAAATAATTTTAATACAGTTGAGTAGATACAGGGTATGATTTACAAGACATGGTATACATGTACTGAGATCTTTATAAGATAGCCAAATTTAAAGTTAGCTTCTCTACATGTGTATCTATCTCCACACTAGTTTCCTGTAGCTCAATTTTTCACTGAGAGAAGAGAATCATCTACAGAAGAGGTGTTATATTTGTACACTAGTATAATTTGCCCCTGGTAGGCCCACAGATATTATCATTATTTGTAGCACATTAATTTCAACACAGACTGATCTACCTTCAGTTGCTAAATGGACAGTGAAAGCTAATTTTGATAAGTTTCAACTCAGGTCTATAAGCAGTTGGAATCTGGCTGGTAATGGTCAGCCTAATCTCATGAAGATATGTGGTATCATAAGTGGAATTACAGCTGTTACTCAGTACACGTGAGTTTTAATTTAAGCACAAGCTGTAATTTAACTACTTAAACTTTTCTGGCATTTAAAACTGCCTAATTATAATTGTATCTTAGTTGAAAATTAAGATTTATCGTAGACAAAGAGCTTTTGTCTTTGTCTAGATGGTAATGTATCATAAAAGACACAGTAGCCTGATCTATACATGTATCTCTGGCTAGAATTACTGTGTTGTGTTCTTGTGCAAGACACTTTATTCTCCCTACACTCAGTCTAATGAACCATTGGGAAACCTGAAAAAATGCTAAACCTTGCAGTCCAAATGTCAAAATAGGGATTTTTTACTTGTTTTCTTCTCTGTCAGTTACTAAACCTTGGAGTCACAGATAGCAAGCAGTTATTCCTCAAATAGTGATAGTGTAACAGTCACAACCTTTGAATAACAATGGTCCAGTTTGTGCATAATAATGTTGTTAGATGTGAGATCTTTGACAGAATGTCATCCTTGATTCTATAGCCAAAGTGCAAGATTCTACTGTCCTCATTCTGATTGTCTTGGTTCTGCGAAATATTGTTACATCAGAGTTCATATGGCTGGAAAAACAGAAAATGTCACTGTAAGGTAAGCTGCACACTTGGGATCTTGTGAAGTAGCTTTTTTAGCAAGCAGATATCTGAAGGGATTTCTCAAGGCATTTATAGGAATGGATGATTTAAGAAGAGCATACATTCTATACATGTAAGTCAAAAATGTGCCACAAGTTTAATTGAGAAAGTTGTTATCATCATTGAGCAGCCCCAAGGCTAAAGGGGGTGACAAAGAGTGTATCATTTATGGTAACCTATAGCAACTTAGGTTATTGCCTTTGAATTAAGATTTACTTGTTCTAACTCATATTTACCTAAAATGGTCTACATTGTGTTTTGGTAGGAGTGATTTTGTGTGTAGATACTGTGGATGCTCTCTACTTGAAGATGTTACTTGCCGTACTTTAGCAGGTAATACATATAATGTTACCCTTTCCTTTAATAGGGGAATTTGAAATGTTTCTTTTCTCAATTTTTTTTCTTGATTGATTTATTTTTCATCACTAGATAAATGCATTGTTCAAGTCATATCACCATTAACAGTAGACAGGAAACTTTGGATCAATACTGGGTGTGGAAAATTTTACCAAACCATCCCAATCTATGTCCGAGGTGAGCAAAGAATAGAGAGGAAAAGTTAGAATTCCTACTGGGTGGAGGGAACTAGTTGATTGTTTCATGACTAAGGGGTAGAGCTTATAACACTTGAAAAACAACCTTAAGTGGTAAGCAGAAATTAAAATATTTTTAAATTAATCTTGGGTGATTGGTTTAAAACCCAGCACACAAAATCACTCCAAGGTTATGCTGCCTCCAATTTATTGCATGTCTTAGTTTGGTTTGTTTTCAGTTTAACTACATGGATTAATTAAACTACACATTTGATCCACATGTTTATGGACATCATATACATGCTAGTTGATTCTCAGGGTATTAATTCTTTTCTTTTTCTTATTTCCTCTTAAAGATGAACTCATCAGGGAGGTTCAGATTGGCTGTTACTGTTCATTTGTTCTTTTACCCTCATGTGAAATTCATAGTTCTTCTTTGCAACTTCATTGTACTCCAGTGTTTGAGGTACACCTGTTAATGATGTTGACAGCTATCCTACTTCACTCATTTGCCATAAAAATTCACTTACACTTTGTTATGTTTTGATGTTTCTTGCCTGAACAATAAATTTTTTCTTTGTTGTCGCTTATTCCAATTCTTAATTTTTTTACAGGCAAACAACATAGAGAAGGTAAGACTAAATTGTGAACTACTGATAAATTACCAGTTGCTGGTAGTTGATTTGAAAATAGTTATTTATTAGTGCATTTTCATTAGCAGTAAAAGTGCAGATTTATTTGTGATACTTATTGCAGTGGCAGCCACCCCACTTTCTTTGCATGTCATGATTTTGGTTTATTAAGTCATAAATGGCATTTGGACCATTTTGAAGCTTAAGAAAGTTTTCTTCTGAAATCAATCTCCAAATTATTTTTGAAGCCATTGTACCACTATAAGATAATTGGAGTAGGCATTTTGGGCCTTATTTTCAGAGTTGTTGTTTCTCAATTATGCACCACATATTTATTTTAATTTGTCTTTTAGATGAGTTCTAGTCCTTTCTTGAATCTGCTACCCTCCGGTTTGCCAAATAGAATAGAAATGCTTCATAAAGGTAGTGCTATTATCTTTTGCTATCAGATATATGCCGGGAAGTACTGCAAGTAAGGACTGACAATCATGAATATATTTCAGTCTTTATTTCAAGTCTACTACATTAACTGCTATAGATATGTACTCTATACATTATAACCGCCATGAGACACAAACTTGTTATTATTTCCTTTTCCACAAAGAGTTCATCAGATATGTTACCTAACTCAGTTAACTCATTAACCAAAGAAAACTATAATTACAGTCTTTCATGGAATAAATAACATTATTTTCTTTTATTTTTGAAATAGACAGAGGGAGTTCAGCATGGAGTTTTGTAAGCAGTCTATCATATTGCTTTGGAGGTACTTTAAACTGTTATTAACTGCTTTTTTTATGACCAGTTTAGCTTGAGAATGCTCTGGCTGATTTTGGTCCCTCAACAAGAGGAAAATATGATACTGTTTTCAGACTTTAGGCAGCATTTTCAACAAGTAATCAGACCTTCAAGAGAAATAATCATTCAAGTTGACAGTAAAGTTCTTTTTAAGACTGATACAGTACACTTGCAGATGAATGTCTTTTTTGAGGATGGGGGGAATTTTAATGTGGAGGAAAAAATTGAAATTGTAGATTTTTTTTTTACCACAGACTAGTTGAAAACATAAACAATAATTATCCAATACATTGTGCACATCTTCTTATTTCTCTCATAGCATCTGTGACACCACCTGGAACATTCTTTCATCTAAAAATGTTCTTGCTCATGTCCCTACTGCTTCTTCACTCTTCTGATTGCCCTGAAGATACTAAACAAGCAAAGTCAAGGCATCTTCACCTGCTTGTTATTGCTGATGACCTTCTTAGGATTCAAAGGCTATTTCTTTACATGGCATCATTTGCAAAGAGAATGCTTGTTTATTCCCCTCCAAGTGATTTATTTTCATCCTGTTGCCGGGATCCTTTTGGCTCAGGCACATTTATGATTAATGGTGAGGCTAACACAAAGAAGCTTTGTAGATAGATGTTATAGTAAAACTTACATTCTAAAATTCCAAAATTGTGTGAGGTTAGAAGAAGGTGACAAGAAGATATAACTATTCCTTCCTCAAAGAGAGTCAATTACATTTCCAGAGAGAATGGGGTTTCAAAATTAAGATATTCTCACTAATGAAACTTATTTCCTAAGAAGGGACGGGGGGGGGGCAGGGTGAAGGCAGGTCAGACCTGCTCCCCATGTGGTAGGGGTACAGAGCTGTATCACCAGATTTTCTTGTAAAAAAAGAAGACAATAGCGCACTTTGTGGTTTATTCATCTGCCTAGTAATGATAATTGTTTTTTTCTTGTTCCTTTGCTTCAGCTGGATGTATCTCTCTGGCATCTGATGGTGTTTGTCTGATTCCTAATGCAGCTGTCTTAAAGAAAGATGAAAAGGATAAGCTTCAATGTGGTATAAATTATGAACATCATTCTCTCTTGGTTGTACTTAATAAGCTTGAATCAAACATAAAGCACTGCTTAAATTTTGATGATTTTGAATAATCTCAAGATATCAGTGAAGTGTCCTCCCATCGATTATTATAAACAAGTTTAAAAGATTGTTTGCTAAGTGGATTTATGTAATCTGCTGAGTCTGCATTTTTATTGATTCTTACGTATGATCTATTGGAGGAAAGATGCATACATGACATCACCATGTGAAATGTCCCCCTTAAGTCCTATCTCAGCTAGTAACACCACTGATTTTGCAAGTTTTGACCATGAAATTTCTTGCAAGCTTAGTGTATTACTCTTCATTTTGATCTCCATTCAAATTAAATGTTCTATCTTGGTGATGAGTTGTTAAAGATATCTAAGACTATCTGGTAGTTACATCTTTTTTGGACTTCCTCTTCACCAGCTTTAGAGAATGGATGTATGGCAGTGAAGGTACCAGAAAAATTTGGGCCTTATCAAGGTCGCCAGGTCACCATGCCACTAACCAGTAGTGTTTGGGTGTGTTCTGAACCATCACAGAAATCCAGTCATCATGCAGTCCCTGATGATGATCCTGTGTTAAACATGGGTCTCTCAGTAAAGGCATGTTTATTCAATTCTTGCTCACGTGTAGTTATTAAATTGTCTTTCCCTTTTTTCATGACTCCATCTCTTTCTATTCCTGAAAATGATATTTTTAACCTTTCGCTCTTTGCAGGAATGTTCAACTTTGCCAAGGGTCTTTGTAGAGTAAGTACAAGCAGGCAGGATAAGTGTGATTTATGTGTGAATGTATGGTATGTTAGGATTGCACTTCTAATTTTGAACCACCTGTCTTCTCCTATACCTCAACATTTTTAATCTGTCCTGGTTTTACGTAACATCCTATTAAGATATCATTTCTACCTGTAGTCAGTTTTCATTAGTGTTTAACTTGAGTGGATCAGCGGAGCAGTTTGAAAACTCTGATGAGTCAGTGTGCGAAGAAGTGTTAAGGAAAGCCTTAGATCATGAAGAGGATGAAGATGTCATGTTCATTAGTGACGAGGAAATGAGCCAGGTAAAGTGAGTTGTTCTGATACCGTGTATGTCATTGCTAAGTTATGTTCCTCTAGCATCAAAGTAAGGCAGAAACGTGAGAATGGTAAAAACAGCCATTAATTAACAACGAGAAAAAAAAATTTTAAAACGAGAACGAGAATTGTTGGCTCCTTCTCATTCTTAGAAAAGTCGACTTGTCACAAAACCATCCATTCGTGCCCACGTCCAAGTCCAGTGGTTCAATGCAAAAGTGTAACTTGTGTGTAGCTGTAATTGTCTTCTGAATTTCTTTCTTCAGTTCCTTCACCACGCTGGGCAAAAACACGTTAGCCTCACAGTGGCAGCAAAGGATCTTATTCAAGGGTATTATTTGGCAAGTAGGCGAACCAAAAACTCTCTTTCAACGGTTGGCGCAGACTTTCCTTCTTCTGCTTTACAACATCTGTAAGTTTAGCCAGTATCGATTCCTTGTACCCATCTCAAGGTCACTAGATTTAATTTCTTTGCAGAACCCAGTAGTGATTTACAATTTGTGTGTAATCTGAGTTTTGTTCCTGCTTAACCGCCCTCCTTTCCACTTTGGTGTTTATGACTTCGTTACTGATACACTATATTCCCCTGCTTCTATTATTGATTAAACTATATAGAGTTATTATTCTAATTACCTACATAGAATTTTACTGCTATCGTTACTTTTGTCAGTCTGATTCCTCCAGTTCTCTTCGTTTTCTTTTATTTCCGGTATTTTAAAAGTATTTATACCGTTTTACCTTTGTTTATCGAGTACATGCAAATAGTTCTTCTTAACTTGCCCTCTCTTTCTTTTCCAGGACCAGTTTGGCCATTGCTCATGCCAAGTTATCACTTCGTTCAGAGGTAAGCAAATCTAATCGGGGACGGTCTTGTCCAGTGGGAAGAGGATGCAATTATGTTTTTCTCATGTTTGACTCCGATTCAATGGTGTTATTAGCTCCGAAAGACTATGGACGCTCCACCATATTCTACGCTTGGTTCCTGTATCAGAGCGAACTTTGGTTGGGTAGGGAGGGGGTGCGGAAAAGTGGTTTGATTGAAAAAACGGTTACTGTTTTTGTAGAACCGTGTTTTATTTTGTTTTATAAACAAACACAAAAAAAATGGATTCTATTTCACGAACACGTGCTCATAACGTCGATGATGACGTGGTTCTGTTATTGGACATCTGAACTGACGGTGGTATCTGTCTGAATGGCAATGAGAAGTTCGATAAAGGTAAATCTTGTGAGGTGCGAAAAACTTTTAAAAAGAAAGTCAGGAAGCGTTCGGGGAAGCATTTTAGAATATTTCACAAAGGAAGTTTTGATCACATTTTATAGATTCGACCCTATAACTGAATGAATCTCACCTTCAATTATTTCGATATTGATTAGACTAACGGACAAAATGTTCAAGAAAAATTGAGACTGACCGAAAACGCAAGCTCTTCTGATCCTTAACAGTCTCAGAGGGGAACCGTGTCTGAAATATTCTTGTTACGTACTTTTTAATCATACTTGTCACATTAGGAAGTCGCTTTGCTATCCTGCCCAAATTATGTCACCATGGGATTTTTTGCTTTCGATACTCCTAGAAAGATTCTTGAAAACAATTCGTTTCATGAGATTTATTTTGTGAATAAAATTTACCACCGTCATCAAGACTTAAGTCACGCACAGAAACTTTATTGACACCGATCCTGATTTAAAGCTTTAAAAAAAAATAAAATAAAACAGAGTCATTGATTTTAGCACAGGTAGCTGGCATAAAGGCACGCAGCTCATCGACGGCTTATTGACAGCAAAGTAACAAATTTGTTTATGTGACAGGAAACGAGAACTGAGGAAAGCTCTTTTTGACGTGTTCTACAAAATTTACCGAACATCTATTGGAGAGAAAAGGCTGTGGAGCCGGTCAAAGTGATAGTATTGATTGTGTAGGTGTAGTAAATACGTGGGCTTTGGTGCCTGAAAGTCGAATTTTTGCCTTTTAAATTAACGTGGCAGCAATTTTTTTAAGCAAAAGTTGCTATTAAAAACTGTTTACCGAAGAGGCGGAACCACTGGGTTGACGCGTTTTTCACTAAAAATTTCACGACATTTTGGATGACTTTGATTGTCCAATAATGTGGCTTCCTAAACTCATAACTGTAAACTGACTAAAATGATCGTAAGTCCGCGCAGAAGTAGTAAATCTCGTGAGAAGCAGCCGTGTGTTTCCTCAGAGGAGTGCCAACTGTAACAAAGCATTTTCATTAACGTTCGTAAACCCGAGCTTTTGTCCTCCAAGTACATGTTAAGCGGCTCGCATTAATTCTATGAAATGATGTTATTTTTGGTTGACTTCTCAATGCTGAACTGAAGACCGACGAAATGACATCGTGAGAGGGTGATTTGGCGTCCCCCGTCAACCTAAGTGTCTTCTGATGGTGAAATGAAAAGGCGAGCCCGACCAATTCGAAGTATACCACCCGACAGAAGATTTTGAGTGAAATCAGGATCGGTGTACTTTTAAGTTAAGTTTTCGAGTATATGCAAATAAATAGCCTTTGTCGAGCAAATTTCTCAAACATTCAAAGCTCACAAACATATTTTTTCCTCTTTATTTTTTTATCATTTTTAATTTCTATTTTTCTCGCCGAATTGTTGTTTACAGTTTCCACCCTCTTGTTTTTACGTGGGACGGGACTGAAGTCTAATAATAATTTTAAATTACAAACTATCAGAAAGCATTGTTGAAAACTGCTTTATGAGTAATTGTTTTGCTGGAATTAACGTTTTACATTTCTATCACCTGTGTCTGTTCCCAATAATAGTTACTTTTTCTCACGAGAAACAATTTAAATATGTTACCGTAAACAACCTCTTCCTAGTTTCACCCTCGATAGCGTTTTCTTGAGTAGCTGCCGAGTAGAGAAAATTATGAAGGAAATAACTATTCGAAAAGCAGTGTCGAGCGACTTTGCAGCCGTCCTAGAAATGTCGGAAGGCATTTACAACGGCCATGACTACTTTCCTTGCTTTTTTCATCAATGGCTGACCAAACCGAACCGTACTATTTTTGTTGCTCAGTATGGTGAAAAGCTTGTTGGACTGAGAGCTATTCACATCGTTGACGGAGGCGAGACTTTCATAAGTCAAGGCTTGAGGATTCATCCCAGATTCCGTGGATTGGGCTTGAGTACCCGTTTAATCGACGCCATTCACAAGCATATACGACAAGAATATCCCAAAGTCTGCCGAGAACGCTTCACGACTAAATCCGACAACATCGAGCGTCTTTCTATTCAGAAGAAGTACGGCGACACCGCCTTGTTTGAGCGAGACATCTTGGCCTTCTACGTGAACAGAGAAACTTTGAAACCACATCATCTGGAAGCCGTGGCTGGTACTTTTGATTTGAAAGTGAAAGCCTGTTCAAGACTTTTCCTTTACAATTTTATTTTGAACGATTCAGTGGCAAACATGTTTCCAGGCCGTACGATCGTCGTTGACTGGGAGCCTTTCGAAGCTCTCCGATCCAATATCGATTGCATTTTCGAAGAGGGTGACTGCGTCTTTTCGGACCGAGATGCAAACGACTGCTCCACTGGCGTGCTACCGAAATCGTTCGCTCATGGTCGGCGATCGCCCCGAGTAAAGCACATGCATTGGGTGGCATCTATTTACACAGAAGACCCAGTCATGTTCCAAGTACACGTTGTTGAACAGCTGAGGAGAGCATGCGAGCAAATAGAAGGTGATTTCATTTTCTGCACCTTTCACAAAGATCGTCATACCAATTGGGGCAAGAAGCTGCTGGAAGAGTCAGTCGGCTTGAAACCGGTGGAATTTTTCCGTGATTTTGGACTGATGATGTTTGAGCGAAAATTTCCAAAATGACAGAACCTCCACGGAACCTGTAGTAGAAGTTTTCTTCATTTTCTTTGTTTAAGAAACTTCTTTTTCCCCAGCTTTACACGCGGAAAGAACTATCTTAATTTTTTTTATCTGATACATGAATACCAATAAATGAATAGTTGCATAAACTAATTTTTCAAATGTGAAAAAATTAACATTTTCCAACCGGGTTATTCGTGGTTTTCCTCAGCCCCTGTAAATCCTAAAATACAACGATAGAAAATCGTTTTTGTTTTACTCGAAGGTTTCAGAAGAGGACGCCGTGATGGCCATTGTCCTGTACGAGGACTCTATAAAATGGAAATACGGTAATATGATGCAATTTCGCTCCCCAGATGGCCCTCCTTAGGCCTACGTTGTCCCCACAGCTCTGCCCTTAATTTGCTGTCGTTTTCTAGTTTGCTCTTTGTTTCATTCACGAACGATACAATTCAGTATAATACTTCATTTTACATGTAGAAGAGAAAAACTAAAATCATAAGAGTCAAGCCTGTAATGAAAAACATATCTCTGAAAATATTAGCCATGGAAATATGAAAAATTCTGAGTACTCCCTTTATCTGGCAACAAGTATGACTATAAATGACCTGGGTTCTTGAGAAGCAGAGCTAAAAAGTTTGTCCCAAAACTTGAAAAATTCACATTATGTAATCAAAGAAAAACCTAAATGGTACAATGGACCAATGAAAACCCTTTGCAAGAACGCTCAACCGCCTCTAAGCGACGGAGAACTTCTTTAAACAAGATGAGATCATATAAGTGGTTATATAAATAGTTTGGTGTTACTTTAAACTCTTGCTTACTTCAAAGACTCGATTGAAACTGTGTAGTCAGTGGTTGACTTAGTTTGATTGTAGCAAACTAGTTCTCACATCGCCTCCCGTGGAGCAAGAGGAGACGGAGAGCAATTTTCAGTTGAGTGCCGAAGACAAACCGGAATTGCGTTTTTCCTTCTCTTCAGGCTGTATGTTTGATTTCACTCGAGCTCTCGCTGGTTCCTTGTGATATGTTTTTTTCAATTTTAATAATTGGCCGTTGGATTTGGTTTCTAGTTAATCGAAAAGTACTTTTTTCCGATGTTGCTACCTTACAGGTTATTCGGGTCTCGGGCCAGTGGATCCTCCTTCTCCCAGCTCGGATGGCGCTGAATTTTTTGGTCCAAAGGTCAGTCGAGTGACTCACGCTTCGGAAGTATTCAAATCTATCTACCAGTTACCATAATATGACAATATCATCAAGGTTTTCCAATTTTATTTGTCTACAATTTATCACAGTGCCACAATGGTTTAGTCATCTCTTTGCATTATAATGGGTGATAAAAAAGTGATTTCAGTTGTCCAATTTTTATCTATTTTCTACTTTATTTTTGTCTTTTGGTAGAATGATATCAGGATGGAGCAAATTCAAGAAAGAATTCGGCGATTTTGCTCTACTTTCAAAGATGGTCACTATTCTCCATTCAAAGTGTTTGTGCACGAGGAGTGATTTTTTTAGATTTTATATTGCCGAATATAACACTCCGCCAGTGCAGAACGAATGTAATTTTTATGGTGGAATTGACGAAAAATTTGAAAATAAAAATTATTTATGTTTTCGTAATGTTCGCACAATTGAATAAAGATACATGGAAACTTGGAAAATTGTGCCACGTTGGTCTGCGACATTCATCCTGTGTACCCTGATCGAGATCTGGCACTAGCTAATGAAATATTCCGCTGGCCATTTGGCTGAGCGTTGTCGTCATGGTAACGATTATGTACCGCAATCGAAGGCACTTATCGACTCGCGTTTGTTCTCTGTAAAGCAGATGTTTTGAGATAAAAACTTGTCACTATTGAGTAAAACCTCAGCACGTGGAGCCGAAATGGCTGAGGTAATGTATGGCCTGGTCTCTGAGGCCAGAAAGAATCGATATTCAGCAATACCGAAGCTGACAGAAGAAGGTAAGTCAATATGAAAATCGAAAACTAACTTATAATTGCGTCCTTGTTTGGTTATTTTCTCCCGCTGTAATTGTTTCACTTTTCTTGCCCCTATGTCTCAGATATTGTTAATGTGTGGGACAATGTGTCAAGATTCATCGAGAAACAAATGGCTCTTCAAAAGGTTAGTCGTAACTCTGCGCTGTAACAATTTGTCTTCTTGCACGTGCAATGGAATGTTTTCTTTCCGCGCAGATCGCTGGTTTATTTCTCTTTCGGGATTTTTTTTTTAATCGTTGTAAAATACATATAAAATTACCTTTAAACAGATTAACTACCGAAGATCGTGTAGAAAATGTAAACTCTGTGGTCACCTGTTTGATTTCGCAAATTCCAACTTTGTTCGAGAAAGGGTCTAAGAGAATCTTCTATGTTTCCTGCAGGGTGTATGTGTGCCAGGCCTCGGTATCTTCACCTACTCGCAAAAAAAGCTGGACGTTGGAAATAATAAATACATTCAGATCCAGAGACCAGTTTTCATGTTGTCCGAGAAGTTTGCGATGACTCACGCTCTTAATTACACCAAACATCACACCACCGGTAAACTAATTATATTAATAGCTTGGTTTGCATTCTCTTTCTTTGTGGGGTGTAGGTGTTGCCTGCTGAGTTAAATATTCGTTATTTACTCTATATGGTGCGAGAGAGTTAAAACTTCATTAACACGTTATTAGAACCTTGTGAAAGTGGAGAGCACTTTTATTCAACTTGAGTAAACTGCTTTGCTACATCAACCTTCCGTATTGATATCAAAATATAAACGGATTTATGTCATCTTATAATTATTAATGCTTTTCACAAGGATTGTGTCGTGTAGCTACAAAGTGTTTTATTTTGGAGCAGCATCAGAGCAGAAAATATTGCTTTCACCTAATTTTGCAATCAATTTATTTATAGCTACTTAGACTTTTAGCATGTATACATTGATTTTTTTTCAGTTAATTAACTTGCATATGGAAATTTTAAATAGGCACTTCACATATTTTTTTTGGTAACATTGCATTTCTACAGCATGACTCAAATATCAGATTCCTGTGTAACTTTTGAAATTTTATGGCTCTCCCTTGCTCAGTATAGTTTTCTTTTGAGACAAGCCTAAGGGATCATTTCTATTTCTGGAGGGAAGACAAGTTCAAATTGCTCTAATCCTCCCCTCTCTAAATGACATATTTTAAACCCCCACTTATCAATTGGATTTAGTCATCCTTGATATGTGTCTATGAATTAATTTGCCTTTTTCCCTTGAAAAATTAGCATCTCTGCCCCTACTCACTGAAGCCAAAATAAGACTTATTATCTGTCACTGAAAAATTGTGCTTCACTCATTTTTTGTTGCCTGACTTACATCATTTTTGGTGAGGGCAGAATTCTGTTAAGAACATAAATTTCCCTTATTCACTTTTATATTAATATTTCTATAATTTATTTCTACCACAGCATTGAGTATGTTATGCCAGGGTAGACTCTATCCCCACATTTTTATATATATATATATATATATATATATATATATATATATATATATATATATATATATATATATATATATATATATATATATATATATATATATATATTTTTTTTTTTTTTTGTATGGTAGGTCAAATTCCAGTGGTACAGCTTAATTTTGCTGCTCTTTCAAATGAGACACCATTTAACAGAGACACTGTGGAAAGCTGTGTAAAGGAAGTCCTTCAGGCTCTGAGTAGATCTGTACAGGCAAAAAGGAATGTAGAGTTCCATTTTTCAGGGATTGGGCGGCTTTCAATAAGAGATTCCAAAGTGAAAATGAAGTTCTACAAAGAATTCCTAAGGAGCATGGATGGTTCTGGTAGTCTAGTTCATGCGCTGTCCAATGTAAGTACTGTTTAAATGTGCTCTTTGAAGGGTTGAGTAATATAATGTGGTGAAGTGTCATACTGTAAAGTTAAACCTTGTATACATGAAAGCAATCACCTGAAATATGAAGAGGCCTATCAGTCTATAGGATGTGGTTGATTACAGAAGTGGGCTGCATTATGGAGATCATATTATGGGAAGTTAGTTCTTGAAAAACTAATCCATAAAACACCAAGAATTTGATTAAGAATATCATGCACAACAATATCATTAATACAGATATATTAGAAATTATTAATGAAATGGATAAGGTGTTTGTGGGACTTAGGTTGCAACATTTCAGTATCAGGGAAAATTACTTGCCTTAAATCAAGGTATTGTACAAATGATGGTCACCTAGGAATGCTGTCACTCTGATAATGGCATTGTTCAAAAAGTGGAGTAACACTTATCCTTGTGTAGCTGCCTGCAAAGACGTTCATTGCCATATCATGCATGGCAATTAAATCTGTATTAGCTTTATGCTATGCTTTTTAAACATCTTTGCTCTACCTTAGAGAAACTCTCTTAGACTTGGAATAGACTAAATTAACATAGATCATTGTGCTTCTGAGATCCCTTCTGTTGTTTCTAATAAAAAATTCTGATCTTATCTTACAGAGACCAGGAACAGCAGATTCTGTTTTGTCAGAGCCTGTTAGTCCACGGCCACATACCAGCAACACTCTAGTTCTACCAAGGTTGGTGAGCTTAAATTTTGGCAGTGATTCATTTTAAACTGCAAGTTTTAACTTTAAATGTGTATGATTGGCCAAATGTGGTTGTTAACGGTATCCTATTCTTATAATCTTCTGGACAACATAAACTTGAACTCTTTCAAAAGCCATGACTCTCTTTCTTTGTTGTAATGGTAGTAGCTTTTCTGCAAATCAACGTTGAGATGAATTACTTAGATATTTTTTTTTCTTAAAATGATTAAGAATTTGTTGCATGAACTATGGTCTGTGGAAATTTTTGGTATTTTAGTTTGAGTATAACAGTTTATTTTATCCATTGCTGTAGGATTACCCCAGGGGATAGTGGGAGCCCAGGAAAAAGCACTGGCAAAGAAGGAATGCCCACCATAACGGAACAGGATGAAGAGGATAATGGGCAGGGTGAAGGTGTCAGGGAAGAGGTCACCACCCCTGATAAAGAAAGGCCCCAGGAACAGGTAGAGGAAGGGTCCATACTAGTTGTGGATCCACAATTAGGAGAGCAAGAACAACCCACAGAAGAGGAAGGTGAGCCTATTTTCAGAGAGGAAAAAATAAATATTGACTGTTAGAATGTGTTAACATTCATTTAATGTCCATGGTGGGTTCATATGGTCTGAGCATCTCCCCCATCCCAGATTGATTCCCAAACTGGTCAGCTGTTGTCCTTTACTCCTCCCAGGTACATGTACCTGCAGTTTGCTAACAAGTTGATGTTAGAATGGTAGTGAGATTGACAACCTCATTAATTATTTAGTTTAAACAGAGAATATCATTTTTATTTTTTCTATGATTATAAAATGTTTCATTTATATTTTTTAGTATGAAACATTGACCCTTAATAAACCACAGCAGATTTACAGAGTTTTTATCTATTGAAATTTTCATTATAAAGATAATTTTTCCCCCAAAATGTTTTAAACATCGAATAGAAGGCAGTAAATGATAATTATGATATCGTCTAGTAAATAAATTCTTCCAATTCATACATGTCACCACCAAAACCAAACAAAACAACCTGCTGAAAATGAACTGTTTGATTTCAATTGGCAAAACAGTGACCAGAGGTTACTTAACATATCCTGCTGAGAGGTTTTGTAAGGTCTTAAAATTGGAGACTAAAAGTACGTAAAATACTCTGCATGAGGTTAATTAGTGGCAGTTTCTGGTCTATTGTGGATTCCATGTCTCTCCAATGATATTGCTGGTTTGTGATGTCCTCCTGTAATTTGAAGCTTTGCCTAATTAATAATAGTAACCTTGAAGTCATTCAAGTGATGAATTTTTAATAAACTTTGTGTCTATGCTCTCATAGCAACAGTGTACAGTGTTTAAAAAGCCAAAAGTTTTACTCATGGTAGTAAAGATGCAGTAGTGAGCATGGCTACCATACTGTTCTAATATTTTCTTGGATATTGTGAAGAAACTACACAATTGAGTTGTGAAACCCTTCGTAAACATTCAAGGTTATTTTGTTTCAAAGATGCCAGCCTACTCCAAAAAACCTAGTTCTAATGCTTACAACAGTCTCATGAGTACATTTTCAAGAATTTATAACTTACTGGATCATCCATCCAAAGACAACTATACAAGCAAATACAGTCGGTACAATCTATTTGTAACTGGCACTGCATTCAATAGTGAAAGTGTAGATGATGGTAATCACAGTGACAAAGAAGCTAAAACAGGTCAGTTGATGGTTAGTGAAGGCATGTCTAAAGAACACAGTTACTGTTGCTGTGTTAATGGACATATTTCTTGTGGCATAGTTGGTTTTTGTTATTATTAGTTAAACTAAGACAAACTTACCACCTGAAACTTGTTTTACTTAAATTTGTATTTCAGATCTTTATTTTCTGTTACATATCACTGAGTATTTTTCAATTTTTGACTTTCAATTTTTTTTTAATCAATGAGTAATACTTCATGCAATGCTATAATAATACTTCTTGAAAACTGTTTGATCTAGTTTGCCCAACTGAAGTTGAATATTCAATACCAAGGACTATTTATGATTTTCTGAATTTTTCAGAGAATATTCTAATACTAATTGAAATGTTAGTTTTTCTTTTTTGAGTTTTATTAACTTTTTGCATGAAACAGTGACCCCAAACCAATTTTTTTGTCCACTGTGTTTTGCCGAACAGTGTTGGAATTAATCTTTTCAATTCAAGGAAATTGTGCAATTGTAAACATTGTAAATGAAGTGAATCATAGTTTTACTTGTGGGTGAGACAATAAACAAGGAATTGACCACATCAGGTTTACTTTTAGAGGAAAAGGTGGCCATAACTCAGATTTCCAAACATGCACCAAAAAATCTTCAGTCAATTAAATGTTTTGGATCCACAGAACAACTTTTTGATTTATTTTCAACTTTAAAAGATTTGTCTTGTTCTTGAAATAATTCAGATCTTATATAAAATCAAAAACATCTTTAAAGAAACAAAAATAGCACAAAGTAGGTTTCACAGTATGTTTCAAAGCATGAAATCTCTTTCATCTTCTGTTATATGTTAGTTGAAGAGGTTTCTTGAAATGCTTATATTGTCTTAAATAGTGTGATATGTACATGTATCTTTTATATTAAACAATTCGAAGTATAAAATTGTTCTTCTTTTCCTTGTTCTTTAGCTGGTGATTCAAAATGATTAATTGCCAGACATGTGACATATGTTCTGAGTTTTAGCCCATTTTGTTCGAGTGAGAAGCTTAAAGTTTGTCGTTATTCCTCACTGTTTTGTGCCAGATTCATGGCTTGTGGTAGCTTTGAATTAATGCAAGGATACTTAGTGTAATGAAAATAATCTAAACAACAAACCTAGTTGAGATATGCTTAGGTGGTGGCTGTGTAATCCTCTTGAACAGTTTAAATCTTTTTACTTTTTGTAATACAGGACACTCACTTTTATGTTCTAAAGATTAATTTTTGATAAGTGAAGTACAAGCCAATTAAATAATATTTCATTCAATATTTCATGTTTTATGCTCAAAACCTTTGACAGAATATTTTATTTTGTAATTTTTATTTCAATTTCTCGATCAATGTTTTTTTTCTTTTGTAGAGTATTTAAACCTGGTTTAAAATTATTGCTGATTAGGGTGATAGATGTTGTCTTTCTAACAGTTTTCTCTATAGCATTTCAGAAATATTTTAAAGGAGACATATTTAATAAATATTTGATGACATTGCACTCATTGTATTTAAGTCGGTCATATCACAATTCTGTTTTCAATGATACATGGCTATCAGTTTGGCGATTTATTACTACTCATCTAAATATAAACTATACTTATAAACTATTTAAAAAGTCACATGATTCTGGTGCCATCCATAGCAACAGAATGTTTAACTTTGCTCAACACTTCTGCTTCAAGGTTTGATCCATTTTAGATGCTGTTTTGCAATCTGACAGGCCTTGAATGATGGTTTAGATTTACAATGGCACTAGCTGTTTACAATAACCACAAAACAACACTTCCTTCCTTGACCAAAAAGCAAGCTTTGGTTATCAACATAATATCATTTCCGCAGTTTGCAACGAAATTGAATCAAGTTAAATTTTTGGCAAAGACTCCGGGGGCATTTTCAACACCACTAAAATATCACTATGTGTCAAGTAAGGCCATATTTAGTCAACTTTGTGTAAGATATTTTATTTCTTTTCAACTTACATTGTTATCACATTCTTTGATGTGCAAAAAATTATTGTTAATTTGTTGTGTAAAAGACAAAGTTACAGTTTACTGTAATTGCCTTCAGTGAACATTTAGGCAAAGTGCAAGCTTACATTTTGATCTGAAGAAGCTGATGAACACAAAATACCTAAAGACAACTTTCTCCTAGTACTGAAAGTAAATGGAATTGAAAATTTTAGAAATATTTACAAACTTAATCTAATTCTGGGCTTATGTCTGCTTGAATTTACATATCTTTGAATAAACCCTTCATTCATACACATTGTATTTCAATACAAAATGAGTGGGAAAAAAATGTAAAAATTATAATTTAAGATGCTTTTATATGTGTATCAACTGAATATGCTTGTCTTGATTTTTTTTCTTAATGAATAACATTTGATGCCATTAAGATCTAACCATATAAATATGTGCTGTGGTTTATTAAAATAGCCTGAGGGTGAAGGAGGAGAAAAAAAAAGCATTTTGGCAATGAGGGAATAATGGTTGTCATTAAAGAAAACTTAGGAAAGTAGGAGAATAGTGTAAAACAAGAGGATAATTTACTACATAATGGCTCCACTTTGGAGTTAAAAGTTGGTGCAGCCTATGAAATTTAACCAAAAAATTCTGCAATCTCCTACGCCTAATGACCACCCTGAAGTTCATTGTTATGTTCATAAACCGTTTTTGTCTTAGCAGACTTGCCCCTCAGATTTTCTGTAGTTTTTATAGCTTCTTACTCACCTTCCATGTCATTTTTCAGCTGTTCCAAAAAGTGCATCAAGGCTCTCCCCTCCCACTGGGCCACGTACTCCTCTTCAAACTGCCAAAGCCTCTGGGGTGATTTACAGTGTCCCTGAAGCGAACTTGACACCACCCACTCCCCCGCCCAGGAGCCCATCTAAGACGACTCCACCCAGAGGCATCAGAGGAGCTACTGTTCACAAGAATAGAAGAAGTCTTGCACAGGAGGTAACCAAACGTGAGCAATCCCCTGCTGAGTATGGAAGAGAGTTTCTGCAGTCTCCTGTCTCTCCATCTAGATTGAGGTATGCTATACAGTTGATGGTCTGGTTTATCAGGTCTAAAAGGAAAAATATCTGAATCTGCTCAAAAGCATGTTAAAATAAAGTACCGGGTGTATCCCGTCATATCGAATTGCTTCTCCATTTAGAGATTGATAACTGAAATAACTAAACATTTTTCTTCCAAATTTAGTTTTGGTTCATGTATTTTTTCCCTTCCGATTACAACCATGACGTTATCATATGTAATAAAAAAGACTAAGACTGAACATCATATGTAAAACTTTTACAATTTTTTTTTAATCTGAACGAAACTACCCTCAGCAAATAACTGAAATACTGATTCTATGTAATCTGGATATCCAGGTGTATTCACAATGAAAGAGCAGGACAGGAATTGTGCTACCTCTGCCATCAACGTTCTCAGAAAAATATACCTGTTTACTTTGCGGAGGAGCGGCGTCAACGAGAACTTGAAGAAGATCGCCTCCTACAACAATATCAACGGCAGAAGGACTCAGAGGCCATTCTTAAAGAGCAGGTTTGCACAAAAGTCATAGAGCAATAATTACACAGTTTTTTCAAAGAATTTAAACTCTGTTATTCAGCCAGCAGATAATAAATTTGCTATTCTGAGTTTTAAGAGCTTCGTCACTTTCTTGGGAAGGCAGAAGGTGTTCTAAACATTTAATGGGGAGTGTAGCTAGATGGAGAGACATATACGGTACCCGTTAATAAACAGCAAACGTACGGGCTTTTTCCAAACCTCTGTGGGATACCTTAATGTCCTAACCCTTTACACCCTAATGTCAGTATGCATATTCTTCGTACTGTTCTCTTTATATTTCCTAAGGTGCCTCCAAAGAGAATTTGTTTGACAATCAAGTGCTTCTCTAGTTGGTCATCATATCCTTTATTCTCGTGGCTAAATGTTTGATACAGTGGTGATATTGTGTGGAGAAAGTAGGCGCTCTTCGCTCATAGGGGTTAAAGTGTTAACGTACTTCTTTTGGTATTTTTCTGCAGGGAAAGAACCTAGAAAACCGCCATTATAACCAGAAGGTGGCTGCCTTTAATCTTGGAGTATCTGAGGCAATCAAGGTATTGTCATGTGAAAATTTAACAGCTAGAGTTACAGTGAATAAGTAGAGGTTTGATTTCACCTAGAATTTACCGGTAGCTTTTGCTTATGAGTGCTTCCAATTTGGTTTCAGGAGAAACTCAGCACAAGACCAACAGAATTTTCTGTAAGTGTTATTTGACTACTTTGTTTAGATATTTTGAATCTCTGTTATCTTTAAAAGACTGATTAGATATATACAGGCTGTAATTACCCAAAATATCAAACTTTTGAACAAGTCTTGTGTCAAGTTCACGACTGTCGTCGTAAGTTATTTCAGTTAATGAAATATTGTTCAAGCTGTTAGTACTATCATAAGTTACGAACACGCAATAAGTTTGGAAGAATGTATTGCGCATGTAACATTACGATTCTTGCAGAGGTCCTACTTGTTCCAGAACAGACCCCTTACCCCTCCCCGGTACATAAAACAGGATGAGTACGGTAGAGAACTGGGTGGTCAGGTGAGTGTTCGTTTGTTTTTAGTTATGCTGGTTCCTCATTTATTTGTTTCGAGTGCATATAGTCAGATACACTGGAGTTACACAATGACCAGGGTGTTCGATTTCAGTCCAACTTATATGTTCTTTGCTTGTTGCTTGTGTCATATTTTCAGGTGCTCACAAAACAGGAAAAGCTAAGTAAACTGAAGAAGGAGCAGGAATTTCTTGAAAGACTGGAGCAAGTACAGCTGGCAGAGGAGTAAGTTAAAACATACATTATTTTGCAATTATGAAGTCCTCGGACAAACAAGGTTCGAATGACCACAGGAGAAGGAAAACTGAATTTAAAAACAAGCAACACCTTGGAAGTTAACTTTGATGTATGCGGTCATCTATCCATGGTTTTCTTGCGCTGTGTTCTTTGATGATTTGCATACTACATAGAAATACACCGCTATTGTCTTGTTCCGTGCCAAGGTTTTAATCACTGACGTAAGCCACATTTTATAACTCTGACTTTCTCTCTCGCCCGACAGTCCACAAGGTCAAACCTTTCTAAAATCTGAGATTTAATAGCGATGATAAGGCTTCCAGAATAATTGTCTTGTTAGGGGTATATTTTGACCCTCCGTCACTATTTCAGTTTGGCTTTACAACGAGAGCAGTACTTGAGGGACAAGAAAATGGGCAGTGACGCCTACCGCAAGGCGCTAGATGCACAGGTGAATTCTTCAGTCGTTTTCACTGGTTACTTTCATTCTCGGAACAAATGTTCGAAGGGCGAAGTGAAGTTTGTGAGATAAAAGCCCAATTGTTGTTAAAACCATAAAAGGGGAAGAGGTAAATTTAGGGTATTATTTAGCTATGCAAACAGGCAGTTGGACAGGCAGACAGGTAGAATGGACAACCGTACTGACAGACAAAATTTGATAGTCATAAAGTTTGAAAACAGAACCTTGAACTCGTTACATAATCCTTTATTAAGAAGACGTAGGGGCAATCCTCGCGAACTAATCAGATGCACAGGAACATTGAGAGGAGCTAATACTATTTAGTAGCGACACAAAATCGAAAAGTGCTTTTAGTATCAACTGCAACGGTGAATTTATTTTGTGTACATGTAGATTAATGTCAGGAAGAGAGTGAGTTGCTCGTTACGTTCATCCCCTGAGTTGTTGCGTCTGCCAAAGCCGCAGATTATTATGCCGTTCTCTCAAACGGCAGAGTTACGTTTGCAGAGACGTCCCGGAGGAAGAATGGTAGAGTACATAGTTATTGTGGTTAGAATTATTTGTAAGGTGATAGTGTTAGCACTCAGTGCTTCAGTTAGCTAGCAGTTTTAGAGTTTTGAAAGCAGTTTGTGTACTAGCTTGGCGTCTAGAAGATGAGTGACAACGAACATGTAGAAGTCTTTCTTTTAGCGTTAGACAGGTTAAGTAGCTAGCATTTTGGTTTACAATTACAATTACCATGGACATTTGAAGTAATTATCTTAAGCAATTTTATGGAAGCCTGCGGACCAGCACGCAATCCGGAGGTGGTGTCTTCCGATTTGTTTTGCAGATTACTCTTCTAAAAAGCCGACTGGCTTCCTTTCGGTCTTTTGGTCTTGGAGTTTTCATCATTCAAGAGATTGATTTTCATCCAGTATCACTGAGAATACTTCAATTGGGTCCCTGCCTACAAAAATGTATAGAAATTCAGTTTCCCTCAGGAACAGGTCGGGCTCGTTAGGCCCTTTGTTTTTAAACAAAGAAAGTGCACTATCACAATAATGATAATAACGAGAATAATAATAATAGTAATAATAATAATAATAATAATGAGAGTAATAATAATGATGGAGATGATGATGATGATGATGATGATGATGATAATAATACTAATAATAATAACGATAATAATACTTACACCCGGAGTTACCATTAGCCATTTTGCCACTAAGCAGTTCTTTCAATTCCTCTACCTGAGATCATATTGAACGCATTTTACAGGTGCGCTATAAACCCCTTCCCATCCCTGCTCTGGAACCAGACTCAAAGGCGCCTATATTCGGAGTGCTCGATGCTACTGATGAGAAATTGTTGGAGAGAAAGACACGAGCACATCAACTTTATCAAGAGCAGCTCGAGATGGTGGCGCAGAGGAAGAGGGATGCTATTCTAAAGGATCTGCGGAATCAGAAAGAGGAATCAGACATGCTTGAAAGAACTCGCAGGGAGTAAGTTTATTAAATCTAATTACAATAAATTCGAGAAGGGATCGACACAACATCTTACGAAATCAAAAATGGAGACAGCTCGAGATCGAAATTTCTTCGTTGCCTTTAGGGTTTCCTTATCAGCATTCCTTTCCTTCACTATCTTTTGAAGAACTGCTTCTCAGTTCTTGCTTGCAGGCTAATAATCATTTTTCCTTAATCTTTCTGCAGTATGATTTTGGACCGCGCCTTTCGCCATCAAGAGCGTGTAGACGTTCGCCGTTCACTGGAAGATTCCTGGGCAGCAAGTGTGTGTCGGAAAAAAGATCAAGAACATGAAGAACGCCGCCGTGCACAGAGTCCTGGCATGCTAATACACGAACAGTGCGATAAATATCACCGGTGCAAACAGTGTGGCAGGCGACCCCAGAACTGCGGTGAATCGAACGTGTGGAGCGAATCACGATACATACCTGGATCAAGGCTCATAGTTTAGAGCGTCTCTATAGGATGAATTTCTTGAACAATTTTCACTGATTAAACTACAGACTGGAAAACACGAAAACAAATACGAACACTTCGCCTTAACCTTGCTGGAAATGTGTGGAATTATTTATTTATTATTGTAATATTATTTGTACAATTGTGAAGATACGATTGTGACGAAAAGATCGGACTCAAATCTTTTGAATTGAAGGCGAAGAAAAGACAGGACGATTACTTGCGCTTACAGATCAAAATTCCTTCTATCTTGATCGTTTTTAATTTCTTTTTGTCTAAAATGTTTTTTTTTAGAGGGAGCACGTGTGATGTACATTTTAATATCTCTACCGTTTATACAATGAAAACTTTACAAGGAGGTAACTTGTCGATGTCAGAGTGAATGTTAGCACAACAGTTTCCAAGGCACTAGCACGCTCCACTTCCAGATAGCACCAACGACGTAGTATTATCTCGAATAACTCGTGGATCAAGGAAAGTCACCCAAGCACTATTCTAGTTTAATTCTTCAGTAACGTACTTCACACCGTGTGATGGCAAGCATGTTCAGCTTATTAGCTCTGCTTGGATACAATTTTGAATACCGTCAATAAAACAATCATTGATTAACTCTTGTTGTTAGAGTAGTGATTCCAATAGAAAAAATCGAATATGGTTGATAATGCCTTGTTTGAATTGGTCGGTGGACGTTTTCGTTGGTTTAAAAGCAATTGCAATCGTCGCGGAGTATTAAAGAATATCGAAGGCATTTTGTTTAACTTACAATGATGCGTCCCAAATTTGCGCGTGTAATCTTTTAAAAAGGTCGGAGACATTCCTATTTTGGCTAATACTTTGACCTCAACGGGCGTTCGCTGCGGGTTTTTTCTTTTCTTTACGACTCATTCTCTCGAGAGGCACTCTTGGAGTTGGATACATTTATTATTTTTTGTGATTGGTAACCTTTTTCTTGCGTTGTGAGAAGAGTTACCTCGGTACTTAACCTGTTAACTCTCAGAAGTGATGAACATGTAACTTCTCCTTATAATATGCACACATTATCCAGCAAACAGGTGATGAGAATCTGTACTCAAACTTGTCAGGTAGAAGTTGTCATTTTGATCAATTTTGAGTCCTCGTAACTTATTTACGAGGAAATGTGTAATAGCTGGAGAGAAGAATTAACAATCAGATCTTGGGAGTTGAGAGTGAAGGATTGGTGACACACGTAGACACTCCATGGATTAACCCGGTACAGCCTGATGCGTTGAATAAAGAGACCACTTTCAATAAACAGAAACATTTTCTTTGATTTCTTAAGGCCTATTTACACGGTACGACTTTGTCGCATGCGACAAGCTTACGACAGGCCTACGACATGACTTAGGACAATTTACACGCGCACGACATTTTCACCTCGTTTCGGCCGCGGTCATTGTTTCAATAATTTGCAAGCTCGCTCCACAGTGATATCATATTCTCTGTTTCCTCATCTGAGAATGTATTTTTCGCTTTGGAAGCAGTCTTCGACTTTCCGGAGGCGACTTCCTCTGCCATTTTGACGCAAGAAAATTTCACCTTCCTCCCCTACTCAGTAGAAATTTGTCACAAAATACGTCATTTTCCATCAATTTCGGCTACGATTGTCGCAGCGTTTTAAAACATGTTGCGAATGCTACGACATTTTTCGTGACGTGCACGACAGTCCTAAGCGAGTGGTAGGTTTGATACACGATACAATTCTTGTCGAACAAGGCCTTTAGACTCTCCATGAATGACCATGACGTCACCAGATGTTGCGAATGCTACTGATGCTGGTTGTCCTATTCTCTTGGAACAAGGCCATTTGTCTTCTAGCCAGCTCAGATATTTCCACTCAGATCAAATAACTGAACTCGCTTTTAATTAAAATCGGCTATGGTAATGTTCTTAGTTCTTCCACTTACTGCTGTGCTGTCCGGCCTGTCAAATTCTTCTCGTCCTTTCTCACATGGTCCAAATGAATGAAGAGCTTTGTACTAATGACCAGTCAGCTTGTCATTTACCCCGGAAGCTATGTTACGTAAGCCTACATTCTTGGGCTTGTAACGCACTGTATTGTTTCATTTTTACAATCTTTCATTTTCGTTTCTCCATCTTCACTCGCTGAAGAACAGACCTTCACGGTCACTTTGTCTTGTTCATTATACAACTGATTTCTCTCTGAATCTCGTGTACTGATTGGCAAGTCGGTTTCAGCGCTAATTTCCGCTTCTCTCAGACCATTTACTTCAGCCAATGATTAAGAAGGAAACTATCAGCACAGCGGCCAACAGTACAAGTCCCTGTTGATTAATCTAACAAATGAAGTTATCTAAATGTTAAGTCTAGTGAAATTGAACATAAAGTAAAAGAAATTTGTGTATAATGAGTGTGTTCTCAGATGTAAAAATGCATGATACCTGGCGTGAAACATTGTGCCATTGCGCACTCTTGGTAGCTTCTTTAAAAAGTGTCCGAATCGTTGTGTTCAACCAACCCGATAAACGAGGCCGTCCGCCATTAGGGCATATGCTAATATTCCTCGTTTATATCCGTTTATCGGTCAGTTCTTTGTATGACTCATTTCCTTTATTCTTGACCGGAAACGCTCCAATGCACCCTCAGTCAGACAAACTTCCTCACCCTCCCCCCCCAACCCGGTATTTGAAAACTCTCCACACCGACTATTTATACTATTTTAATTTGGAGATTCCAGATGGTCGACTGGTAATCGTGGGCGCGCAACGAGTGCAGGAGAGGTCATCGAGGTCGCGGGTTCGAATCACGCTATAGGAGTTATTCTTAATCTGGCTTGGGGGCCGAATAACTTCTCCCCGAGTATGATTTGGAGCTGGCGGACAAGGAATAACTCTCAAACTGGCTTGGGGGCCGAGTAACTCCTCCCCGTGGAATTTGCTTTTTGTTTTTTGCTGTCTTGTCCTTTTTCTCACATTATTATTGTCATTTTTATCTCCTTTTTTCCTTTTTTCACCGAGCAGTTATGTTTTTGGGCCACTGTGATATTTTTTCTAATACGGTTTTGGTTGGTGTCGGTTGCTTTTTTTCATTGGATTTTTTTCGAAATTAGATATAATATTTTCTCTCTTTTTACGTTATTATTATAGTTATCCTTTATTTATTTTTTTACTATTATTTGACAATTTTCTATAGTTTACTAAGCATACGAGAAAGCAGAAGAAATGTATGTATATTGGTATAATTGAAGACAATTAGAAATAGCATGGGTTATGTTTTTAATGCTCGAGGGGAAATAGATTTAATTTCGAAATAGCAGGGCAATAACCTCGATAAGATTCGAGAGAAGAGTTTCGGTGATCATTTTCTTTGACAGCTCGGTTGTACTTTATTTGATGTTGTAATTTCCAGTGGTAGTAGACAGAAATTCTAACGTTGACTTTAGAACATTTGCTGAGCAGAAAAAAAGCCCTTCATTTTGTCTTTCGTGGAAAATGGTGGAGAGTACCGTGTTCAGACTACAGACCATGCAAACCCTGCAGACTGTGCAGACGGTTCAGACTCTGCAATTTTCTTGTTTGCTTTTTACTAACTCAGATTTGCATATGATTCAGGTGTGAGTATCTTTTTCTTACTCTTTTGGTAACGTTGGAACGGTTTCCATTTTTTGGACACCACATGACTTAATTTAACGAGGATATTTCGAACTCATGTTACTTTGCAACAGTTTGGACGAGATCGCAGGCTCAACTTTATCGAGCACGTGGAGATAAGCCTCACATGGAAAAAGATGGAGATCGACGAGGGTAGGTTCTATTTAAATTTGCCCTTGTTTTGAAATGAATTTTAGTTTTTGTCACATACTTGTGTTAACTCTTTCTTTATTTTTATTTGGACAGTGAGACTGGTTTAGAGGTAAGGAATGGACTGTGTGGACGAAGCAAATAATTACCATGCAGGATCTACACAAGACAGCCCAAATAACTTTACAGTAAAGAAATTACTGCAAGCTTAAATCGAACCTTACCAGGAAATAAAAAGGGTTTTATTTAATCTAAAAGACAAAGTGGGGAGGGATCAGGAACAAAAAGCGAACTGGTCAGCGAAGTTACTTAACAATTTATGTACCTTACGTCCATTTGTCAGACCTAAGAAAGAAACGTTATCACATGACCTGTTCGTCTCATCCTGGGAAATAGTTTCCTTCTTTATACCGACCAAAAGACAGAAAGATATCTTGTGGCAATATATAATTTCTTTTTAGGGTCCCCGAAAATGATTTCCAAATTATGTTTTACCTGATATTAAGTCAGTTCTCTAGAGATACGTGTGCAAAGATGAAAATATCAAGGACGCACCATCAAAACTATATTCGCATTGGGCTTATGCACTTGCACCCCACATTTTTCGAAAGGACGGTGCTATTAAGATGAAACATAGATACATAAATTTCATGGAAGCTCCTCAAAGTAAGCGAGAATGATAAATGAAAATATATATAAAATCATAGGTGTACCGGATTGAAGGTTAAGTAACAAATAATTCCCCAGTCTGCACGGTCTGCAGTTTGCAGTCTGCGTTTTAGCATGACCGGATTTTAGTGAAACTTGTGAAAGTGTGTGCTTTGGGACAATGCATATCTATGCCTCCTTGAAAGAGATCTAATTTTGTGTCAAAATGAATATTTGTTAGATGCTTTGTTTCATGAACCAAAAGGAAATGTAAAATGTTCCTTGTAAGTCTAAGCACCGCGGCCAACATTACAAGTCTCTGTTGCTTAAACTAACAATAGAAGTTCTATAAATGCTTCGTCTAGTGAAAAGTGACCACAAAGTAACAGAAATGAATGTATAGGAAATACGTCCTCAGTTGCAAAATGTTGGATACTTCGCGCGTAACATTGTGCTAATGCACATTTTCGATAGCTTCTTCTAAAAATTTCCGAATCGTTGCGTTTGACGAGCCCCTGCAAATGAGGCCGTCCGCCATCAGGGCATATGCTAATATTCCTCGCTTTATATCCGTCTATCGACCAGTTCTTTGTATGCTTCATTTCTTTATTCTTGACCGGAAACGCTCGATTGCATTCTCAGTCAGACAAAGTTCCTCACCCTCCCCCCCAAACCCGTATTTGAAAACTCTCCACACCAACTATTTATACTACTATAATTTGGAGTTTCCAGATGGTCGACTGGTAATCGTGGGCGCGCAACGAGTACAGGAGAGGTCATCGAGGTCGCGGGTTCGAATCACGCTATAGGAGTTATTCTTAATCTGGCTTGGGGGCCGAATAACTTCTCCCCGAGTATGATTTAGAGCTGGCGGACAAGGAGTAACTCTCAAACTGGCTTGGGGGCCGAGTAACTCCTCCCCGTGGAATTTGCTTTTTGTTTTTGCTGTCTTGTCATTTTTTTCATATTATTACTGTCATTTTTATCTTACTATTTCCTTTTTTTCTTGGGCAGTTCTCTCTTTAGGCCACTGCGATATTTTTTTCTAACATGGTTTTGGTCGGGTGTCGGTTGTTTTTTTTTCCTTTGATTTTTTCGAAATTATTCATCATATTTTTCTTCTTTTTAAAATTGTCGTTATTAGTGATTATTTTTATCTTTTTACAATTTTCCATAGCTGACTTATGCATGGTGAGTGACAGTTGCATGGCAATTATTTTAAGGTAGTTTCAAATCGTCACGGTTGCCCGTAAGTAACTAAAGTTGAACACAGATAGTTTGTGTCAAAAAGTTTTCTTACTTTATTTCAATTTTTTCTTCTTATCATCATCGTTTTCATCTTCTTTTTTTTCCGTCGTTCTGCGCAGTTATCTTTTTTAGCCATCGTGGTCTGTTAGTTCTGAGGAGGACTCGGAAGATTCCGTCTGATTTGGGACGGTTCATTTGAATTTCTAGATGGTTTCATTGGATATGGGTGCATGATAGATTAGGGAGGACTCAATAGAGCTTTGAAGGTAGTTTTCGAGCGGTTCTCCATCACTCCTTTTTGCTATGTAGTTATGGGGCATGTAGCCTTAGTCGCGAAACTGAATAAAGAAGGGGTGGCTCCTAAGTTTTCCTGGAAAGTATGTGTAGTCTTACACAACATATTTAACCTTACCAGCTCACGTGTAGTGAACGATTGAAAACAAAATGGTTCTAACGAAAGCCTACCTCAGATATGTACAATCTTCCTGTTTTGGCGTTGTTTCCAGCTTGAAAGCGAAAGTTGTGTTTATTAAGAGAAGAATTAACACGACAAGAAAGCAGATCGCTCTATACGCGGTTTGTCCGGCGTTGGAGAACGTTATAATTTGGGATGTTAGACGAGGAGAAAAGGTAACAGCGAGTTTATCTTTATTTGGGTGATAGGGTACATTTTATGTTATATCAATCGGAGGAAAAAGAGATTAAGTACCTAGATTATATATTAAAGAAATATTCTGAGTGTGTGTTGTGGTGTTTATGATTAGACTCTTCACTCTTCGTAACTTAGAGTGAAAACTGTAATATTTGGGACACTCGTACAAGCACATTTTCACCGATCAGAAAAAGTTGAAAAGAGTGATTTCACTCAGAAACTACCACTTAAATTTCCCGTCCACACTGGAAATCAGATGAAGTGAGATCTGATCACACTACAGCAGTCACTTTCGATAGGAACACATGACTGCATCTTTCATCTTGCGCATTTCAGGGGTCTGTTTTAATCCAGCTAAAAGTACTATAAGCAGAAACATCAGCATTTTTAAAAAGCCCTTGACAATGAACCAGTTTAACGGCACTTAACTATTGGCTGTTGCTATTGTGTTGTAATCCCGATCATGACACAAGCAGCATTTACCAATCGCCACTCTGGAGTACACATCATGTTAATTTGTGCTGGGATGGCAACCTGGGTAGGAGCTAGAGGGAGTGTTGCGGGGGTTTATTACACCTTCTCTCATTTCATAATTTTAAAGCAACTAAAATTAGCTCAGTGGTGAAGACCTATTTTCTTCTCTTTAGACTTTTCCTTATGTTATAAGAAGGTGTAAGTTTCTTATTTTATAAGAAACTGTGGTGTAGCATCAGTGGGGGTATTACTATATCTTTGTTTTGTGGACTGAATAATGTGAGTTGGCCAACACATAGAGATTCAAAAGCTGTTCTGTGGAGCATTAGGCTTCAAAGAAGGGCTACAGTATATATAATGCTTGAAACCTTTGATTTAAGCAAAGTTGAAACATACTGTATTTTCTTCACACCACGATTGATATTTCTTAATGTAGGCTAAAAGTTAAGAGTGTTTTTTCTAAGAACACCAGACACTGACCTGGCTAGGTCTTGAACCAGGACTTCTTGACCCGAAGTATAGCTCACCAACCCTTAGGACACTGTGTCTTCTTAATATCAGAGTAATAATGATTTACATATCACTGTCAAGGTTTCTGTGCTTGCTGGGGACAAACATGAAGTCACAGCTCTACAAGTTAGTCCTGATCAACAAGTTTTAGCTGTTGGGTAAGAGATACTCCACATTAATGATATCTGGCATAAAACTGTAGACACAAGTATTAACCTTTTAGCCCTTACAAGTGACTAGCATCTAATTTCTCCTCACAATATCACCCCTGAATCATGCAGTAAGGTCATGAGAATAAAGAAAATTATCAGCAGCAAAAGAAGCTGTTGATTGTTACACAAGTTCTCCTTGTCTGCACCTCAAGAAATGTATAGAGAACAGTATGGAGAATACCTTTACTGATGTTAGGGTTTCAAGGGTTAAACCGATGACAATTTCTATACATATTGCTGACTTCACAAAAATGTTATTACCATTGAATTTCAACTTCCGAATTCATAGCTATGAAGATGGATCAGTCAGGCTGTGGAAGTTACAAGATAATACTTGTCAAGTAACATTCAGGTAACAAATTAACTCAGCAATTGTTGATGATAAAGGAAATCTCTCATGCAGGGAAGTTTTCAGTATAGAATTCCATTTAATACAATCATCCTTCCTCTTGAGTAGCAAACTTTTTGAGGGGGAATCTTTCCAAACTCTGAAAATTTTTCCAAGACTGGAGTCATGATTTTGAGAATTGCTCACCCACAGGTCTAATATATCAATTCAGTTGGTTGCTTATAGAAGTTTGAATTTTATATTGAGTGCAGTTGACCAGTGGATTGAACTTGGAAGTAAATATCAATTATTTGTGCTCATACAAATGAGGCTGAAAGTCTTTTCAAGCCTATCCCCAAGCAAACTGTCATTCTTGATCATCAACTGTATATTTACAGGGCAACATTGTTTCTAACAGTTTCCATATTAGTCTTTAACCATTTTGCTCCCAAAATCTGATTGTTAATTCTCCTGTCTAGCTGCTACACATTTCCTTGTGAATTAGTTTCGAGAACTAAGACTGTAGATCAAGATAACAACTTCTGCCCAATAAGTTTGAGTTTCCTCATTACCTGTTTGCTGGATAATGCATGGATGTTTTAGGGAGAAGTTACATTTTTATCAATTCTAGAAGTTAAGTGATCAATTGGTCCTTTTTCCAAAAAAAACAGTGGTCACAAGTCAGCTGTGTCTGCACTGAAGTTTGATGATGCAGGAGGAAGACTCGTCTCAGGATCAAGGGTAAATTGTATCTACTGTGTCTTTCTCCTTACAATATCAGTTGTGACTTACGCAATAAGGTCATGAAAATTAAGGAAATGATCACCAACTAAAGAAGCTCTTGATTGTTAAACAAATTTTCCTTGTTAGCACCTTGTATAGAGAACAGTGTACAGAGGAAATGCATAATGATAATAAGGTGTAAAGGATTAATTTGACATATCAGGAATGGTTGGTTTTCATTTATTTCATCCACTTAAATTTGTTACCCTTTTGTTTGGAGTTTTAAGAAGTTTTAGACCTTTTATTTTAACCAATTGTTGTGATTCATTTGACAAGTTTAATATACACATTTCTATGCAGTTTAAACTCTAACCTCTTTCTTTTTAATTAGATTTTTTACACCTAGCATCACCCACCACAACAAGTGTCACAAGTGAGCCAAGGGAAGGCCTCACTTATTATAGATTCCTCAGTCTGTAACTCAGAGGTTTTATCTCTTGTGAGGGGCCAAGGTTTTTTTGTTGTCCTAAGTTCTCGACAAAGTCAGTGACATTTTTCTTCATTTATTGGCCAAGCTCAAAATATATACCCTCTTTCTATTTTATTTGAAAAGTCTGGGCTAAGTTACCCTGCATAAATTTTGCTGTTACTGGTACACCAATGTTTTTTTTAAATTGTTATTTTTCTCTTGTGTATGCAGGACACAGATGTCATAGTTTGGGATACTGTCAATGAAGCTGGTCTTTACCGGTAAAGATTTCATTACAGATGTCATTAATGCTGATTTTACAGTTTGGTTTTGATTGAGCCTTTGAGTGAAATCTAAACTGGTACAGATAAGTGATGAAAGCTTTTGGAACAGATTGAATTATTCTGTAAATTCAGTGAAATGAAGTGAGAACCAAATTAATACAATTTTGTTAGATTTTTGTTAATATAGATCTTAGAATATCATGAATGATACCTAACTGTCTGTCATTTTTGGTTACTGATGCTAATTTTTTCTTGTTCATTATCAGTTTCAAGGGACACAAAGGACTAATAACAGAATGTTATTTCATGAAAAGTCAGAATGTTCTGATAACAAGGTAAGTCAACAGTTCATTGAAGGTTACATTTCATAAAACAATAGATCATCACTAGAGTCAAAAGAAGTAGATAATAAAGTTTGCAAATAAAGGAGGTAAGTCTCTGAAGAAACTGTGGTATTGGGTTGGTGGGAGAGTATAAGGGTAATTTAGCATTATCAACCGAGTTAATAATGTAAATTGGCCACTGTAAAGAGTTTAAAAGTTGACATTTCAAGTGGAAACCCTTTGTTGTTGTTTATGCCCAATTTTGATGACTTGAAGTAAGTGATCTGAACCTTTCCTCTCAAGTGGGTGGTTCAGGTTTGCAATATCCTTGGGGAGCATAAAGTTTGCACACAAACTCATAGAGCACATCTTTGTCTCCATGGCCTGAAGCCACCAGTTGTATTTTTGAACCAGTTTCTCTTTCTTGATGGGATATGAGCCCTTTTCAGGCCACTATCCAGATAGACAGTATATCCTCCTGGGAGAAAATAAGCAGTGTGCACCCCTTGAGCTAAGAAAATGCAACCCTGGTCAGAGTGAATGGGTGAATTTACAATTACAACACCACAACTCTTTGGCATCCTTCATATATTTTGAATAACTTTCACAAAAGATCTTGTTTAAATTGTTTCTTTTCTATATAAGCGGTTAATTATTGTAAATAGATTGATTCTCTTGTTTTACTTTTGTTAGTTCCAAAGATAGTTTTGTAAAGTTTTGGGATCTTGACACACAGCACTGTTTTCTTACACTCGTTGGTCACCGGAGTGAGGTGAGTAATATTAGTCTGAATATTTCTGAATTAAGTGGTAAGAGGTTATTCACAATGTAATTTGAATGTTTTTTCATTTTTCCATGAACTCCATCATTCAAGTCATCCAGTCAGGCAGCCTGTCAGTTTACCCATCTGTCTGTCTGTTAGTCAGTCTGTCTGTCCACCTGTCTGTCTGCCTCCTGACAATCATTGAGTCAATCCATCAGCTTGTCTGTCTTTCTGTCTGACAGTCCTGCCAGCTTGGAAGTCATCCAGTCAGGCACCTTGTCAGTCTATCCATTTGTCTGTCTGTCTGTTGGTCTGTTTTTCTCTTGCCAATTAGTGAGCCAGCTTGTCTGTCTTTCTGTCAGACAGTCCTCTGCCAGCCTGGAAGTCATCCAGTCAGGCAGCTTCTCAGTCTATGCATCTGTCCATCATTCTTTCTGTCTGTCCATCTGTCTGTCTGTCTGTCCACCTGTTTGTTTGTTCACCTGTCTGTCAGTCCACCTGTCTGTCTGTCTGAGTCAATCCATTGGCTTGTCTGTCTTTCTGTCTGACAGTCCTCTGCCAGCTGAAAGTCACCCAGTCAGGCAGCCTGTCAGTATATCCATCTGTCTGTCAGTCATTCCATCCATCTTTCTGTCAGTCAGTCCGTCCATCTTTCTGTCTGTCCATCTATTTTTCTGTTTGTACTTGTCTTCTGTCAGTTTAGTGCTCATTCAATCAATCACATCCTGTTTGTGGAACACTGAATTGCATGTTCTGTATGCTGGAAGTCAGATATAAAGAAAATTTCCATTTATTTTAAAACCCTTTGAACCATTCCAAACTGTAAGGGTAATTTTTATAGTGATTAGATATGTAGTGTTGTATGGTTGTCTTCTACTTGTAGGTATGGGGTTTCACAGTTGCCCATGATGAAACAAGATTAGTAACTGGGTGTGCAGACAGTGAACTTAGAGTCTGGAAAATTAACAGCAACAGTGAGAGTGACACAGAGCAGCTGGGTGAAAGTAATAAGAAGAATGGAGGTAAAAGAAGTGCTGACAAGGCAGGATTAGATGAAGAATCAGATGAGAAACAAACTGAGGTAATTTCCTACAACAATGAATGAAAAAGGATTTTTAGGAAACAACTCAGTTTAAAGATCTAGTTATCAAATTTCTTAACCTTTTAACTCCCAAGATCTGATTGTAGCTCTCCCATCTAGCTGTTACTCATTTCCTTGTAATTTAATTACAAGAATTCACTGTTAAATCATGATAACAACATCTGACTGATAAGTCTGAGTTTGGGTTCTGCTCATTCATGTGGTTTTTCAAGAAATACGAATTTTTTTTGTTTTTGAAGAAAGCAGGGATGACTTGTGGTGTTATGACACTTTTTAACTAGAAAGCAATTTATGAAATTCCACACCTGTCAGCTACACTTTTCACTGATGTTCTGCTTTGTTTAAAATATCTATACTAATAAGTTTTTTTCTCCTGCCAGGGAACTCAGCTTTCTTGTACACTGATTGGCTCAATTTTCCGTCATAGCCATGAAAGAGTGGTGTCAATTATGTCTGACTCAACACAAACATTCCTTGGGTGCCTTGTAAGTGCAAAATATACCTGCTAAATTTGCTCACTGACATTTGATTGTAGGTTCAAAGTTTATCCTAAATTTTGCAAAGATATGAGCATTGAAATTTACTAAAAAATGTTCTTTCTCCACGGTATGTTCAACATACATGTATATTCAGGGTGTGAATACAGGTGCCAATGCAACTAAATTTTTCACTTTGGCAACCAAATCCTGAAAATTAGTTGCCAAATTAGCATCTAGAATGCTTCATCATAACCTTACTTAGAGATAAAGTGAATTAAATTGGACATCCTAGTGTCCAATTTGTAGCATGTTAAAGATCTTTTTCCTAACTTAATTTTGGAGGGTCTATCTAGAACGCTAACAGCGTTAAAAAAGGTTTTATTTGTCTTTAAAAATGGTGACCAACTTTTTTTGAATTGGCTACCACTTTGAAAAATTTAGGAGCCAAGTGGCTATCAGAAAAAAAAATTAATTTCACGCCCTGATGTTGATCCTTGCAGTAAGCAGGATGCTTGTCAAATAGGAACCTAGTGTATGGCCTAAGTCACCATGGAGTTCTTGGTGGCTCAGTGGTAAAGTGTCAGACTGCTGAAGGCCTGGGCCAGGTTGTTTCAAGGGTAGATAATGCTACCTACTGGATGAATTGATGAACACTTCCCTACTGGATAATGATATATCCATCTGATAGTGTTATGCACCCTTTTAATGACTGCACCCTGATGTTCAAATTGCCATGAAAGACTTGGATCTTTCCTTTGTCGTGCAAGTATTTTGAAACTAATGACATCTTTCTTAATTGGAAGGTATCAAAAAGGAAACTTAGCTGCTCTGTTTCACTACTAACAGAAAAACATTGTTTGGTTTTTTTAAAGGGCAATGATTCACAGTTGGAATTGTTTAAAACGTTAAATGATGAAGAAATACAGAAACACCTACAAAAGAAACTTAAGAGACAAAGGTCTGTTAAAAAAATGAGATTATTTTGTTGCCCTCTTTTGATTTTAACTTTTATTTAAGGTGTTAAAAACAAATTTGTTTCTTTTTTCTTCATTTAGAAAGAAAGCAAGAAAAGAAAATGAGGACCAGGTTAGTGAATTGTTCAAGCACCAGTTAGGTCAGAGCTTCTTTGCATTTTCTGTAAGTGATACAAAAAGTATATAACACAATGAAAAATGTTTGGTATGCACTGTAATGTGATACCTTTTAGTTATCTACACTAATCTTATTAGTCTTTAATATTTCTAACAGATTTGTTTTGATACTTAATCTCCTCTAGAAATCAGAAGCAGACATTGAAGTCACAAGAACAGTGGAGGATGAACTTCAAAGAATACATTCTCTAAAACTTCGTTCAAAGATCAAGTAAGAGAATATATTTTACTCTAACATGTATGTCAATTTGTACAAGAATCAAGTGAATTTTTTTCCATTTACTGAGGAGAATTTTCAAGGTTGACAAGATTTCTTGATTATTTGTTCATTATCATGGAATTACAAGCATGCTTTGGAAGTGAAGTGGTTGATAGCCAAAGAGATATGCATTTCCAAGTAACCTGAAGCTAGGAACAGCCATGTTATTATGGCTACTACACCATGGTGGCTAAGCCAATCAAAATCCTAGATTTTCCTTGTATATCAATACCATCTCAACTTGATACATGTATTTGCTACTGACTTGTTATTACAGATCCTTTGACTTGTTTCATGATGAAAATGCCAATGATTTAAAGGTATTTCTGTTTTAGTTCTCATTTCATATTTTGTAACTATTTGGAAGATTTCAATTTTAAATGTAAGCTACATACAGCGCTACTGTACATAATCTTGCAGTTTGTTTATCACAAGGCCCATTTATCATCTGTCGGTTTTGTTTTGATTCCCTTGCAGATCATATTATTGCTTCAAAATAATACAATCCAGTTGCATTCAGTTACTGTGAAACCAGTGGAATCCTCTTGTGTATCATCAGTCACACTTCCTGGTCACAGATCAGATATCAGGTTAGTATCACTGTGTTTCCAATATCAGGATGGTATTACTTAGCACACAAAGGTGCCACTAAATTTTGCTCTGCTTCAGACATTTGGCTTCATAGCCCACAGTGTAGCTGGTGGTATTGGCTAATTGGTCCTACAGGGTGCAGATGTTAAAGAATAAATCAATTTTTTTACACTTAACTTTTCATGTCTTTTTCAACATTATACCTGTGATGATCAGACCATTACACTGTGCAAGGAAAGTTTCTAGCTAAAAGAAGAAGATAGAGAAACAAACAAATACATCACATTCCTACCAATAGCATAGCTCTATTTTCTGCATATAAACACACACACAACCCACAATTCCCCCAATCGCTCTGATGAAGGGCTAACACTCAAAAATGTCAGCTTTTAAACTCTTAACCCTTTAACACCCAAGATCTGACTGTTAATTCTTCCCTCTAGCTGCTACACATTTCCTTGTATATTAGTTATGAGAATTTGGTGTTAGATCAATATGACAACTTCCTGATAAGCTTGAGTATTCTCATTACCTGTTTGCTGGATAATGTATGGATATTATTGGGAGAAGTTGCTTATTGATCACTGCTGGGAGTTAAAGGGTTAATGGTGGCCAATTTACATTATCAAATACATCCATTTACAGGTTTACTTTTGGTGGGATTTTGATGTGATGGTCTGGGATGGAGACACTTTACCTGAAGTATTGCTTTTGAAATGATAATGTTTGGCAAAACTTTCAAAACATTATTGTTGTCAATCATATTCTCCCTGGATATTTATTGAAAAACCTGTAGTACTCTAAAGAGAGTGCTATTGATCTTTTACATTTTGAACATCTTGCAATTTGAAAAAGAGGAATGATGGTGAATAACTTAGTTTATTTTTTCCCAATTAGAACTCTCTGTTTCAATGCTGATGGTTCCTGCCTTTTGTCAGGCTCTCAAGAGTCAATTAAAGTTTGGAACAGGTAAAATGTCTGTTTTTTTTTCTGATAGAAAAAAATGTCGTCTCAAAGAAACTTCTGTCATGGTGGAAAAGGGAAAAGTGCCTGTATAATCCATTCCTTGTTTACAAGGAAAACTTTTAACTTGGTTTTAACTTTGCCTTTGAGATGTAATCTCCTTTTTCTCAAAGCTAATTTATGATGAGATTTACAGTAATTTCTTTTATCATAAACTGATTTAAGTGAATAATATTATAATACCTTTGTCAAAAAACAAACAATTTTTTTTATTTGGCAATTCTGTTGTATATTTTTGATTGCAGATCATCTTGTCAACCAATAAGAACAGTATCCACAGGGTATGCACTATGCTCATTGTTTGTGCCAGGAGACAAGCATGCCATTATAGGAACTAAGGTACTGCAACTGTTTGAAAAGAAAAAAATGTATTTATTTTCTAGAAAAAAAAATTTTACAGAAAACTCTTATGCTCCAGCTGCTTGGGAATATTTATGACAGGAAAACCTAGGTGGCAAAACATACACAAGATGGTTAAAATAAGTTTAAAAAAATCACTTAGAAAACTTTTTTCCTTTTTTTTTTTTTTTTTTTGCAGGCAGGGAAGCTAGAGATCTATGACATATCATCTGGTCAATTACTGGAGTCTGTAGATGCTCATGATGGTCCAGTGTGGGGCTTATCTTTATCTCCTGACAAGGTTTGTAAGCAAGTAATTTGCCAGAAGTTGTCACATTATTAAAGCACAGCTATGAATTGATCTTGATTATGCAGAGACATCAAATTTCTACAGCACACAGTTAGCCTAACTAAGACCAAGAATTAATCTTGATTATTTTATAATTTATTTTGTCAGCGTGGTTTTGCATCTGGTAGTGGAGACTCTACAGTAAAGTTTTGGGAATTTGAACTTGTATCAGATGCTGAGCACTCTCAAGTCAGGTGAGGAGAACAAACTTGAAGTGTTTGTCGCTATGTGCCATTGTATAGTTACAAGACTTGTTCTGTTGATCACAGACAGGAATACCTTTGTAATAGAACTTTTTTTATGGGGTTGCGATGTTGTTTATTCTCAAACTTTATGACTTGTTTGCTTTTTTTACAAAGATGTTTATTTGTTTGTGAGTGTTCTAGTCTGAAATTGACCAGACTTCTTTGTTGTGGACTTGTTAGAGGAGAAGGATTATTTTATTATCCTTAGGCTGGAATGGATGTGTACCTACATTGTGTATTTATTGAATGCAGATTTTAAGTTTTAAAATTTGAAAATTTCATATAATTTATTGAAATGACTTAACCTAAACATCTCAACTAAAGTTGACACATTTTTTTACATAAATTTTTCGATAATCATTGAAAGGATATTTATTAGTAAACTAATTCCTTCTGTTGAATCAACAGTAAAAGATTGAGCATCACTCATGTGCAGACCTTGAAAATGAAGGAGGAGGTGTTATGTGTCAAATACAGGTATGTCCCTTTTGCATGAGACTGCCAGAGTTTGTTTGTTTTTATTTTTCACCGACAGGTTACTGACCAAACTAGTGAGTTTGTTTAAGTGACAGACTTACTCTTGGTCGCAAATTAACTTTTATATTTGAATGCCAGGTGACAATAAAAAGTTTTGTTTCAATCACCATATGGAACAGTTTGGTTGCCAAAAGGTCCGATTCGTGAAATTTTCGCCTCGGCGAAAGTTAAAAAGGCGTTGTTTTTAGGGCCTCTCTTTGATTAAAACAAAATTCATATTTCATAGTTTGCATGAAATAAAGGTATAGTACAATTGTAGTTCAGTGATAACAATGAAATGCAGCGCTTTGAGGAGAGGTGGGGATAATTATACATGTAAGTCCTGTGCATTACAAGGTATCTGAATTTTTTGTCTTTTTTTTTCTTTATTTTTTTTATTTAGTACATAAAATCCTAAGCATCGCAGAGAAAGTGAGAAACATTTTAAGGCAATATGGTACAAACAATCAACACAACGCTTTTTTTATCCTCTTCAATAGTCCTAATCAAAGATTGCTGGCTGTGAGTCTTCTAGATTGTACAGTTAAAGTGTTTTTTGCTGATACTTTAAAGGTTTGTTGTGTTGATTCTTTTTTGTAAAAGTACTACTTGCATGTTTGAAAGGCGACGAAATTAACTAATTTGTACAATTTTACGAGCAAAAATTTCAATCTCAAACAGAAATTAAAGATTATGGAGAATGAGCATGTCTTATTTCTTGTTTCTTTTGTTTTTATCGACGAACTAAGATTATGAACTCCTACTGGCACTAGATCTGTTTCTCTTTCAAAAAAAAACAATTGATGGAGTCGTGATCTATCAAACATGGTGGATTGTGGAATTTAAAAAATGATGATAGAATTTTCCCTTTTTTGTGCACAAAAATCATGTTTCATTTATAGCAGACCGTCTAGATTACATTTTAGAAAACTACTTCCTATTTTTCCTTTTCAGTTCTTTTTATCTTTGTATGGACACAAACTCCCAGTTATGGCTTTGGACATTTCATCAGTAAGTATCCATATTCTTGCTCCTGAAACGGTTATTAGAACAGTCTTTGATTGATTATCGAAAGTCATCCGGTCTGGCATTGGTTGTGCTTTGCTTTAGACAGTGAGTGGTTTACAAAGTGCGTGTTACCTTTGATAGTAATCAGTACCCACGCCCTCGTCTGACACGACCTGAACGCGTTTGTTTTCTCGTCCTTCAGTTTGTTTATTAAGGTTAACAAATAAAAGTAATTTTATTATCTATTTCCTCTTATGAACAGGATAGCAATTTAATCATCACAGGATCAGCCGATAAGAATATTAAGATTTGGGGGTTGGATTATGGAGATTGTCACAAGTCCATATTTGGACATGATGACAGGTTTGTTTGCTTGTTGTTGACTGCAGCGCATTTCGATTTAGTGCCGTAAACCTGAATTAAAGTAATTTCAACGGCCAATCAGAATACAGAAAAAATATCACTAGCAACCAGTGGAAACTCAAAAAGACTAAAGCGCGGGAAAACGCGAGTGAATTAGTCGCGATTGGTCGAAGTTTAAAATCTGATTGGTTGAGAAAGTGGCGCTACTTATTTTGACAAATCATAGAATGATGCAAAGTAAAAGCAAAGCAATGTTAGATTTCTTTGAATGCGCAGTTGGAAATTGGGTTATTATGAGCTTATCGTTTTTCATTCCGCCTAAATCTGAAGCGCATTACCCTTGTGGTTAGCTTGCTGGACTCTGGATCAAAATTTTTGCGGGTCTTAACCGCGCCAGGTCTTTTAATCATGTTCTTGGGCAAGACGACGTGCACTCATAGTGTCTCTCTCCAGGGTGGGAGTATGAATGGGTACCAGCGAACTGTGAGATAGACTTTACAGAATGCTGGGTAACTAGCGATGGTAGGAACCGTTCGGTAATGAGCTCCGCCGTTGAGCCACTACGCTCTTTTGTAGACCGTTTTGTTCCTCTTTTTTCATAGGTCACAAGTACCTTTTGAAAAAGTCTTTCTTGTCATAATTTTAGGTCCTATCGTTTACCTCAACTCACTTGTTTTTTTCGTTTTTTTTCTTTTTTTCAGTATCATGGGTTTACAGGTACGTTGACAGACTTTTCCTCAACTCTAGTGATTTGCTGAGCGATAGCTCTAATTCAGTGAATATGCGTATCAACCACTGGTCGCGTTCGAAATAAAGAGCTAATACTGCGCCCTGTATTGTTACCAGTGCTTACCACGAAAGTGAGGTTTTAGTTTCTACTTCAATAAAACAAGTTTCTTTGTTTCCACCAAAAATGATACGCTGCGTTGACAGGCGAGTTTGTGATCATTTTGTAGCTTTTAATCAATTCAGTAGGCAACTTGCAATGAAGAAAATTAGAGCAGTTTATTTACCGTGTTTGTCTTTTAATTTTTCAACAGTTCGTCCCCAAGACTCATTATTTTTTCTCAGTCAGTAAGGACAAGACTTTGAAATACTGGGACGCTGATAAGTTTGAACACATTACAACTCTTCAGGTAATGACAATGATTTCTGGAGATCCTTTGCTCGTTTAGAAAACTTGTGCTACCCTCTTAACCAAACACGTTTAATCACGTTTTCCCGCGATGTCGGTATTTTTAGTTCTTGTCAGCTCTCTATGATGTTAATACATTTTGAATTCAGTTTTACCATTTTCAGCGGAAATTCGCCGAAGAAAGTTAACATTTTCTCTCTGTTACGTTCGTACACATGTATTACTGACGGTACGGTCGTGTTATGTGGGACGCTTAGACGGCAATTGGATTGCCTGGGAACGGCTAAAACGTGAATACATGGGAAGCAGTTGTTGAAAATGTCCTGAAAGATGTGTGTTTACTTTACCATAGGGCCATCATGCGGAAGTCTGGTGCGTGGCTGTGAGTCCAGACGGCGATTATGTGGTGAGTAACAAAATGGATTGTGTCCGATTGTCTTATTACACTTGATGAGAGTGTTATGATCCCAGTGTTCATTGCGCAGTTGTGCTCCTCCGCCCTCTTCTATCTATTTTAAGACTAATCTGTGTAATAAAGGAGGTAAATTTCTAAAGAAACTGTGGTGCTGCATCGGTGGGAGAGTATAGCAGGTAATTTGGTGTTAACAAAGTATAAAAGCGTGTGATAATTTTCTGTTAAAATTTTTTTGTCCTTCAGGCAACAGGTTCTCACGACAGATCCCTTCGGCTGTGGGAGAGAACGGATGAACCATTGTTTATAGAAGAGGAACGAGAACAGGTTCGGCATATTGTTGATGTTTCACAGCTTTGTTTCCTCAGCAACTGGTATACATCAATTTACATCTATTCACTTGTTTGATCTTTTTTTTCAGGAGAGAGAGAAAGAATACGAAGAAAGTCTTGTGCAGAACACTGAGAGAGTGGTACGTTTTAAGTAACTGCTCCTCAAACGTTTCGCCAACACTATGACACCTAAGAATAACGATTGCGAAGTGTAAAAGACCACCGGAAATTAGAGGAATGACACGAAAGTCTGTCTGTTTTTAACCTTACTTTCTTCCCTTGCGCATTCCTAGTTGCCAGCCAGCTCGGTGCGAACAGGGAAAATTTAGTTTTTCAAGTTACGTCTGCGATGCGAACACCCCTTCTCCCAGCCTCTCCGCTCAGACTTCAAGTTTCATTGATACAAAATTTCACGCTTGGCAGTTTAAATTCATCAACGAATAATGAGCAGAATTAACCTGGTAATGTTAAAATCGGGTATACTTTCCTCAGTATTCGATTGCGTTACCTTCATCAAGTTTTTTTTGTCTCAGATTCCCGGAGAGGTAGACGGAGAAGCCGTCAAGGCTGGAAAAAAGACATTAGAGACTGTGAAGGCGGTGAGATATTCTACTTAAACGTTATCACTTGATTGGAGAGAATTCTGTTAAAGAGCTTTATTTGTTAAAGAAACCATCTACAGAGAAACGCATTTCAAGACAGGATAAAATCTGAACACAGTGCTTGAAAAATGACGCAGGTAGTCAAATTTTTTTGAATGAAGGAAGCAAGATTTGCAAGTGAAAATCCGCCACAATGGCGAAGTCTAGCTGCCAGCTAATTTAAACGAGGCTTCGAATGAGTTCTGAATCAAACATGAGGGACATGAATGAAGAAAATGATCTCCAACTTAAGAAATTCTTGATTGTGAAACAAATTCTTGTCACTTTTTTGTTGCAAAATCATCTGCCGGTTGCAGGTGCATTCTATACTAGAAACAAAACGTGGTAAATTTTATTTTTTGTTCGTAGGCGGAAAGACTAATGGAGGCTATTGATCTCTATAATGAAGAAACAGCTAAAATGAAAGAACAAGGCGGTGGTCGTGAACAGGTAAACATTTTCTTTCTACGGCGTTTTACTGCTCTTGGTGAAAAAAGAGAGCCGCAGTAACTTACAATTTTTTTAGCGACATTACTACTTTTTTACGATTTAGTTCATACATTGTTAGTCGACCATAAAAAAGATAGTAAGAGCGATCCTTTTACAATTTGCAGGTGTCTACCAATCCAATTCTAATTGCGCATGGAAATATTACGGTAAGGAGTCTATTACATGTGTTTAAAAACGTACCTTAATCTTAGATGGTCCAGATCACTTGAACATTATGTGGGATGATCGGCGCGATGGGCCCATGATTTGGATACCAGGCTTAAAACTTGAGGTAACTTGTTGTCATGCTCGTTGTTGGGGTCTCTGTGTATCTCACGAGACCCATGGGAACGAGAACCGCAAGTTTTCTGCGAAAAGTCTGTTAAGAGATTGGAACCAAAGCACATACAGCCCGAGGGACTGTGGGAAGAAAAAAGAAATTTTGCAAATTCCCTTCCTTCCTTGCGCGCCCTTTTTCCTCGGAGAGTTTAGTACACCTGGGTCCGAGGCAGGGCTTAACCTTGTGACCCTTGAGAGTGCCTAGCATCTAATTTCTCCTTACAGTATCATCCCCGAATCACACAGTAAGGTCATGAGAATAAAGGAAATGATCACCAACAAGGAGATCTTGACTGTTAAACAAATTCTCCTTGTTAGCACCTAAGGAAATGTTTAGAGAACAGTATGGAGAATATGAAAACTGATGTTAGGGTGTAAAGGCTTAAGGAATAACGATTTGCAGTGTACAGTTTTCAAACCAGTACTCGTGAAGGACAGCTTATAAAGGAGTTGCCAGTTTTCCTACTGCTGTTTATGAAGCCTCCGTTATTCTTAATTTCTCTCCAGCCTGCTCGTTATGTTCTGGAGGTCGTGAAGAAGATCCGTTCAAGGTATGTAACTATTTGTAAACCAAGCCTTGGATACAAAGATTATAAACTCTCTAGTACTATCTTACGGTTAAAATGTTTTTGTCCTCAGATCGGAAAAAAACTAATCGTTTTATTGGTCATCGGACACCGCTGTGTGTTCAAAGTCTGTTAAATAATCCAATTTCATGTTTCATAGTGCACTGATTGAATGAAAGCTCAATTAAACAGGAACAAAAGAGAAAGACTTTTGGAAACAGGTCCAAAACTTTGGTGTAATAACACCGAGTTGGCGAGTGGTTGAAAACGGGTGGGTTTCCGAGATTTTTATCTTGTCGAGATGAGACATTTTATCATCGGTTTGTTGATTTGTTTTTGTTTGGTGGTTTTGCAGTGAATTGGAAGAGTCTCTGATAGTCCTACCGTTCAGTGTTGCCACTGATATGTTGACTTTGCTTAACCACTGGCTCCAGGTAAACAGAGTAACAGTATTTGCAATGGTTGTGATTTATTGCTTAGCAGCACCAGTGAGCGCGACCGGTGTTGAGAAAGGTCAGTGTAATTCGCGATCACTTGACCTGGAACAATGTGTCTAACGGTATTTATAGTTTCCCTAAAGTTGGGGGGAGGGGGGATCCCTGGTACTGTTTTTAGCTTAAATTTAATTCATTCTGTATTTCCATCAACATCAAGAAACTTTCAACCGAGTATGTATGTTGTTGTTCTCTTTCAAATCCAGCGCGGCTGGGAGGTCGAGCTTTCCTGTAGATGCCTCTCATTTCTTTTGAGGTAAGTTAATGCTTTTTCTGTCTCGTAGAGCAAAGCGCCAGGATCTAAGTCATGGCGAAAGGTTGTTGTTAGCCCATTAATCGTACTGTAAATTGGATTTGGAGATTCCGCAATCGCCGGGTGGCGCTTTGTCCAATGTTTCACTGTCTTTTCTTATTTTCAATGATGTTCAAGTTATAACTGACGAACTATTCCTTTCTCAGGATTCACCATAGCCAGATCGTAGCAAACAAGGTTCTTGTGCCGGTGATTGATTCCCTTCGGCAGCATGCTAAATCACGAGTTCATGGTCTGAGGGTAAGTTCGTATAGGGACTGCACCGTGAATTCTCTATACGTTACGCGAGGTTATTGTTCTGATCTCAATATACTGAGCCTCCCAAACGTTTTTTATAATATAAAGTTGCTCTGAACCGTATGTACAGAAGAACGTAGAACTATGCAAAAAAAAAAAAAAAAAAAAAAAAAACCAGTGTTGTCTTTGAGAATGCATTCAGTAAGGAATAAAGGGGCTCAGCGCGCTCGGATTTGAGTGGTCACCACTTAAAGCTATAATCGAGGATGACGCAATAGTAACCTTTAGACAGAAATATGGTCGGTCACAACATGTTGAGAGATGGTGACAAAACCATGTTGCGCCACCTTAAGTTTGAAATAACTGGGTCATCGTCGTCACTCGTAAAATTTCGCGAGCTTTGCGGGGTACATGTGTAATCGCTAAAACCAATTTGAGGTTATTACTGCCATACTAATTTACAGCGAGAACTCAACTCATCTGGAATAAAATTAAACATAGGTTGTGATTTCTCCTTCCCCCAGGGCCCTGAAATAAAGAACCTCATTGACCTAAACGACCTTTGTTTCAATTCCTGGGCCTTGCATCACAACATTGAATCTCGAGGCTTATTGTAAGATACCGATTGCGAGCACTAGAGGCCAGATGGTCAAAACGCCCATCACGGTGCTGTAACGGCTTGCACCAACCTGGCCTACATCGTAGTTCTAAAGGCAAACATTATTTTAATTGTTTTCCTATAGGACACCATTGGTTTTAACTTGGCTGGTCTGCGTTTCATTCAAAACGAAATGGAAGCCAGAGAAGAGACATTTTTTGCCGACGCGACAGAAAAGGTGAAGAAGATTCGGAAGAAACAGAAATCGACCTTCTTACAAGTTGTGAAATAACTGTATCATGTTGCTTTTCAAATATTAAAAGAATACTTTTGAAATGAACTGGAACTGGAACTGCGTTATCGTCATCGCTCTGAGGAAGGGTTAACGCTCGAAACATCACCTTTTAAATTCATTACTGTGGCTAATTTACGTTATCAACTCAGCTTATGATACCAAATTCCCCTGTTATACTCTCCCTCACCGACGCAGCATAACAATTTCTTTCGAAACTTTCCGCTTTATTCAGTTTGAAAGACTTCGTTACAAAAATTGGTTACTTTAACGTGAGGAAGAGAGAGTCGAAAGTTACCTCAGCTGGCACTGGTTTTTCTTAACCTTACTTGGTGACTTGTCTTAAAAACTCGCGCCACCCTCTCCAACAATCATCAACTAATGCAAGACTAAATACAATCATGATAGAGTCGCAAGCATTTCACATGGCAGCTGAGATAACTTTCGACTCTCCATTGGAAATTGTGCGAAGGCCTTCCCATAATGTTAATTGCATTCCACTCTGTCTTCCCAATCTGTGAACCTTAGTGCCAATGGTTGTGTGGAGAATAAAATTTAAATTTCATTCTCGATGTTTTTTAGATAAATTAAATTTCCAAAACCTGAATTCACCTTCATCAATAAGATCATCTTTGTAGTCTGTCTAAAGGTACCTATCCTGTGTTTCCTCCCCTTCAAAAAATGTTTCTCTAATACCCCCCTGCGAGATCAAGAATGGAAGAAAACGAAGGAAAACCGCGCTGATGATTTTAGCGTATGGTAAAAGCTTATGTTAAAGTAAAAGGAAATTTATATATATTGGCACAGTTGGAAATAGCAGGGGTTATGTTTGAAAAGAAATATATTCGAGGGAAAATGGATTTCACTTAGAAATAGCAGAGTGATAACCAAGTTTTGAATAATATTATCAGGCTCAGGGTCTACAGTCTGCACGGTTCATGGTTACTTGAGTCAGTTGGATTCCAGCTGTGATAGCCTTTTTGATTCATTTTTTCTTTTGTTTTTACAATTTTCCATATCTAACTCAAGCATGTTAAGCGACAGTTGCATGTCGGGCATGTCCTCCTCCTCCTCTCGGTGCGATTTTTGTGTTGCCAATGTTGACAAATCATATTTATGCCTCTTTGTAAGGATCTAATTTTTGTGTCAAAATGAATGTATTTTAAATGGTATGTTTAATGGACGGAAAGGAAATTTAAAATGTTCCTTGTAAGTCTCAGCACAACGGCCAAAATGACTTGTCTCTGTTGATTAATCTGAGCATGGAAGTTTGATAAATGCCGCGTCTACTGAACTGTGAACATAAAGTAAAAGAAATGTATGTATGCGTCCTCAGAGGTAAAAATGCGTGGTACCTGGCATGTAACATTGTGCCACTGAACACTCTTGATGGCTTCTTTGAAAAGTGTCCGAATCGTTGTCTTTAACGAGCCCCGGCAATCGAGGCCGTCCGCCATTACGGCATATGCTAATATTCCACGTTTAGATGGCGTCTATCAGTTCTTTGTATGATTCATTTCCTTTATTCTTGACCGGAAACGCTCCATTGCACTCTCATTTGGACAAACTTCCTCACCCTCCCCCCCAGCCCGGTATTTGAAAACTATCCATACCGACAACTTATATTAATTAATGATGCATATTCCAGATGGTCAACTGGTAATCGTGGGCGCGCAACGAGTGCAAGTGAGGTCATCGAGATCGCGGGTTCGAATCACGCTATAGGAGTTATTCTTAATCTGGCTTGGGGGCCGAATAACTTCTCCCCGAGTATGATTTGGAACTGGCGGACAAGGAGTAACTCTCAAACTGGCTTGGGGGCCGAGTAACTCCTCCCCGTGGAATTTGCATTTTGTTTTTGCTGTCTTTTCTCTTTTTTTCCCTTATTATTACTGTTTTTTTTTTCTGAGCAGTTATGTTTTTGGACCACTGTGGTATTTTTTCTAAAAGTAATTTTTCTGTTGCTTTTTTTTTTCTTTTTTTTCTCGCTACTACATATATTTTTCTCTCTTTTTTATGTTATTATTACAATTATCGTTCAATCGTTTTTTACTGTCTTTTTACAATTTTTCTTATCTGGCTTATGCATGTTGAGTAACAGTTACACGGCAAATTATTCCAAGGTAGTTCCAAATCCTAGCCCATAAGTAACTTTAACATAGATAGGTTCATGTTTTTCCAAGACATTTGTAATTTGTACTCGTGCTTGAACTTTGCAGTCGTATTACATGAAAAATGCGCTCGTTTTTAGCCGATCACGCGTGTATAATTTTATCATGTTTATCATTAAGTCATTTAAAGAGGATAAAATCAACTTCGCGAAGGGTAAATCCGCACCAAAACGCACCAATAGTAGCTAACTATCATGCCACAGAAATAATCACTTGGCCACATCGCTTGACGAAGACTAGCAAATAGCAGTCGAAATTTGGCGATCTGAGCAAGATTGGTGGTGACTTGAGCGTGAGACAAACGATTGAAATTTCATTTATTGCATCATAAATACGATGAACAAACACATCTATAACAATAAGTTCCTCTTCAATAGTACAACAAATAGTTCAAAAAGTTGTTTTGTTTGTTTGTTTGTTTCCAAGAGCTAGGAAACAGGGAAACTCAAAGAAACTCAAACAGTTCCTCGAATATATCTGAGTTCGAGTTTCAACAATTGCACCAATATCCGCAACTCCCCAAAGATGTTTACGGAGTTCAAAATTAACCATTTGCTGGCCTTCCCATTTCGTTATATTATTGTGCGACAGTAACCGAAGTACTATTCGACGTTTTTCGGTTCGCCTTTCAAAGTCGGAAAACTCATTTGAATTACAAATAATTTTTAAAATGTTAATATTTATATCTGTGATCAGTCTTACACGTGGAAAGAGCGAAGGAAGTTCGAGAAATTTCAGAGTCTCTTGCTACTCCTCTGGAGGCCACAAAACACATCACTTTCACCTTATAACCCTAGATATCCTTTGTCTTTCAAGTCCAGCGTGTGTTTCTTCGAAGTTGCTGAGTAAGGTGGCTCAAATTTGACGTCAAGGTTTGATGAATGTCATTTTGTCACAAGTTTTCTGAAGGTAAATAACCTACGTAGGAATACATATTTGATACAAATACAGTGCCCGTGTCTCTCGTCTTTCCCTTGAAAATCAGGTCAAATTGCAGAGTTTAATACCAAAAGTAAAAGCATGCCATGCACAGCACAAAGTAAGACAATCCTTCAACTGCAGCCGCCATGACAGTTCTCGTTGCACCACGTGATTTACTAGTAACAGTGATATATTCTTATTTTATGGTTAATTTGTTGGTAGCTTACGAAGTAATTTAATGCTTATGATTTCTACACTTGTGTTTTTTTTTCCTCTTATACATACAGTCACTTAAGCTCACGGTATGTCAAAATAACATTTGATGTAAACGCGCTTGTTGTTTCTCTAACACCCAACCACCGATGGACAGCAAAATGGGTGATCGTGAAAAACGTTTTGACACAAAATCGTTTAGGAAACCAGCCAAAATTTTTTGAAAATGAGGATATGAATGGCAAAGCTTTCTGTTTTATCTCAAATTTAGTAGAACATTAGTTATCTAGCACGTACTCGAAGTCGGATTTAGGGGTCTGGGTTCAAACTAAAGAGGATGTTAAATCGTGAAGGGGGGAGGGTTGGGGATGTAGCTGTGACGGTTGACGGTATATTTTTTTCGATTTCGACGGCGAAATCTCAAGGCCCTTGACTGTTGTCAACTGTTTGAAAAATATATTTCTATGAGTTGAAGGTAATGTCAAGTTTTTTTTTTTTTTATATGAATGATGAATGACGTTTAGATGTATTCAGGTTTATATCTGTTTATACTAAAGTGAAGCCATAATGAATCAATTGCGAGTAATCGTATCCTCATGTTTGCACATAGCTTTTTTGAATCGACAAAAATTGTTAATCGCTGGAAGGAAAATATATGGCGAAAGGATGACGTCTAAAAAGAAAACGATTTTGGAGAGGGATCAACGCTTCTTCGTTGCCGCTTTTTTTCAGAAATGGATTAAAACAATGTTGATACGAAGTGCAATTTTTGTGTGAATCACCTTAAAATATGTAATAGAATCTACCGATAAACTTCTCTCTTTGAATTCGATTGTTACGTTAGTATCTGGCAAGTTTCAAGGCTTCTCTTTCATTCAATTGTTAAGTGAGTATCTGGCACACGGTTAGGATTGTACCACACTACGATTGTTACGTTAATATTTCGCACATTTTATGCTTCTCTTTCATTTCACTGTTACTTAAATATCTCGCACTCTTTTAGGGTTATCTTTCAATCAATTGTTATGTTGGAATCTGGTGCATTTTATGCTTTTCTTTCAATTTATTGTTACGTTGGTATCATGTGCATTTTAAGGATTATATGACATTCTATAGTCACGTGAGTATCTTGCGCATTTTAAGGATTACCTTACATTAGACTTTTACGAGAGCATCTCGCGCATCTTTAGATTCTCTTTCATCGATTTTTATGTTAGCATACACTTTAAGGATTATCTTGCATTCGATTGTTACGATAATATCTCGCGCTCTATTTAAATAACCTCACATTCGATTGTTCTCTTTCATCGCATTTCAACGTTAGTATCTCGCGCACTTTCAGGATTCCTACTTATTGGATTGTTACGTCAGTATCTTGCGCGCATTTCTCTTACATTGGATTGTTACGATGGCATCTTGCGCAGCTCTAGGATTCTCTTCATCTGATTTTTACGTAAGATCTCGCGCACTTTCAGGATTCCTATTTATTGGATTGTTACGTCAGTATCTTGAGCGCATTTCTCTTGCATTGGATTGTTACGATGGCATCTCGTGCAGCTCTAGGATTCTCCTTCATCTGATTTTTACGTAAGATCTCGCGCACTTTTAGGATTTCTATTTATTGGATTGTTACGTCAGTATCTTGAGCGCATTTCTCTTGCATTGGATTGTTACGATGGCATCTTGCATTGAATCGTTACGTTGCTATGCATTGAATCGTTACGTTGCTATCTCGCGCATTTT